CCTTCATCTCCCGCTCCACGTGTTCTGCCTCCTTCATCTCCTTACTTCCTGTCCATATGGCATGTTTCAAGACATGTCGGACGGCGGCACGCATCACGAGATACCCATGAGACGCAAACAGCGCGATCAACAGAGCGGACATCAAAAGTTCCCGAGTGGCAGCGAGACTAGGAAGTGGGTGATGGTTCAGATGCTGCGACTCATCAGTCGCATTCGCAGCCACCATGGTCCCCAGCTCATTCTCTTGTTGATCAGGGGGACGGAAGAGGTATACCAGCGCAGAGTTCGTGAGAGCCGACAACCATGTTAGAAACGATAGAGACTCCAGCCACGGCCCTATCGTATCCGTTCGAACAGGCGTCGGTCGTCGGGTGTGCACCGCGATTTTAAACGCATCAGAGCGCGCTTCAATGTAGTTGTTGAAAAGCGCCATCGCCGGTGCAAGTGGCCATATCGTTGACCAAAGAGCGACGTAGCCAAACTGTGTCACCATCTCGCTGTAGTCCGTGAACACATCATACTCTGGCAGCACCACTTCGCTCCGAACGCGCTCGAGGAATTCACGCTCCTCTCTACCGTGTGCATCATGCCCCACAGGTTCATCATCAAACGCCACCCGCTTTTTCTTCCCATGTCCCTTTCCATTACCATTCCGAAAACCTTTCCCATTGCGGAACGACTCCACCGCACGGAGGATGTATGGCAAGCCAATAGCTGTGAAGGTATCCACCGCTTGGTTTGTGACCGAAAAAGCGAACATCTGGTCCTGAAGCCTCGATGAATTCAACATGCGTCGCGCGTTTTTCCTATCCGACTCCCATAAATTGAGTCCGGCCGCACTGGTTTTCTTTCCACCGGCTCCTCTAGCACCGAGATTAGAGGTCGCGTTGAAACTGACATTATATTTCTCCAGTAAGGCCAACGCACGATGACCACCTGTGAACAAGTAGGACTGGACAAAGTTCATGACACTTTCGCCGAAAGGGACGTAGACGAATGCGGACAGCGCAATGCCAAGATAAGCATTCATCGCCGAGAGTGTAAAGACCTTCAATGAAAGAGATGAACTATGATTCGATTGATGCTTGTGATTCTCCCAATCCGTGAAGTTTCTGGCGAGTTTCTGGTACATTGCAAGTAACCGAGGAACAAGGAGTGAGAAAAGTATCGTTGGAGCAAAAGCCTTGAAACAACGATGCTCAGAAAGGCAGTAAGCAGCAGGCATAAGTAAGCTTACCACATATGTGTGGCCAGGACCCTTGTAAAGCTGTGTCACAAAAGCTTCCAGGACGAATATGCCTGTCAACATAACCGCAAGGATAGTCGCAAAGAGTAGTATGACCGGTAGGCCAGCCATCATGCGCATCTCCTGCTTCCACCAGGGGAAGCTCGGGAGATAATCAGCCCTCCGCTTTTCCACGCGCCACGAGCCACGAATGCACCATCTGATTGACAAGATACGCTCTTGGAGTCTCCACCATTCGACGAACGCAATTGACCACAACAAGAGTAGAGTGGAGTAAGAAGCAGAGTAGGGTTTCCCCCAGAGATAATAGATAGTGCCAAGTGCTGCCGGAAATATCAAAGCCTGCGTGTATGCTGTGAGGAAAAAAAAATAGAGCGCAACGGAATCTCCAAACTAGGACAACTTCGTCATGATGATGTATGCGGGACGAAACTAATCGAGACAAACCTGGTCTCGAATCTTTTCGAGCTCCACGCTCGCTATTCGGTGCCGAGTCCATAGGCGTATCCAGTGATCATTGAAATCATGATCGTGAAGTGCCATTACAGACTCCACGAGATCCCATTCTTTTCGCCCTGGAATGATGCCCAAACCTCCATCTTCGGGAGTGGAGGAAATGAATCCGTGGATCAAACGGATACGGTCGGCGGGGGATAGTGGGGCCGATTCAAAGTCGCTCGTGGACGGTAACTTGGACATTGGAAGACCGTATAAGAAATCCGAATGTCTGAGATGCATAGTAAGAAAATGGAGAGGGAAATCATCGTCATTGTGAGACTCACCGTTCACAATGAATGAGTTTCGCAAGCACGTTTTGCGGACAAGTCACCATTACGAGTAGTTGGCCCTGGCTCTCTCCACGCCTCCCTACAGCTTTGAGGCCAGCTCGTGTGAGCGTGTTGATGAGTTTAGAATACTGCCTTTCTGCCTTGACTGCATTCTGGCGCATTTGTTCTTTGGAAAAGTTGGCTGCCTTTTTCCGGATGGCACAGAAGACTATGACTATGTCCACATGGGGAGGCATTTTGAGGGCACACAGTGGGCGCTCTGCCTACGGTTCGAGTTATATCGCGACCTGTGAGTATTGGTGTTTTGCAACCGAAGAACTGATAGTTAGAGAGATGTCTAGTTCGAGCATCTAACGGAATTATTTTTACATCAGCAATGTGCCTCGTGTTGTTGTTATCTATTTGTAAGAGGAAGGATGCCTCCCAAATTCATAAATACGGATGCAAATGCAGCAGGCACAAATAATTCATTCCATACAGCTTCTGAACATCCTAAAAAGCGAAAATGACGAACTAAACTACTGCCTATAAATGCATATGAAAGGTCCACCATCTTCATGCGTACACGGACCAGCTTTTGAATTGATAAGTTAGTTGCAATGCAAATCCAGCGATGTCATGAAAACTAGCGCGCGTAGGGATGGTAACTGTGCTGCCCTCGTTGTGCCGCACGTTGTGGGCCAACGCCAAGACCACCAGGACCACTCGGACCACCACCCTGTGCTCCTCGTGGACCACGTGGAACATTCGGACCTAGGCTGGCAGGCCCTGTAGGTGTACCACCGCCCCCCATACCCTGACCCCCTCGCCCCATTCCACCACCACCCATTCCTGGTCCTCCACCCATGCCACCACCTGCTATTGCGGGGCTTCCCATGCCACCTCTGCCCATGCCCATGCCTGCACCTCCATAACCACCCATGCCACCCATCATGCTCGGGTTTATGCCCGGAGTCATGCCTGGATTCATACCCATACCCATACCTCCCATCATGCCACCTCCGCCTGCCATTTGGAACATACGGGTGTACAAGGCGGCTAGAGCCTGGGGATCGAATGGAGTGTTGCCCGAGGGAGCCGCGGGCATAGCGTTAGCCGCCGCATTAAAATTCCCGCCCTTGTTGGTGTACTGTTGTTGCTGACCGCCGTCTTCATTGAAATTGTCACGCTGATAACGCGGTTGCGCCAATTTCACATCAATCTTAAATAAAGTGCGTAAATGAATGAATCTACTTATAGATGTAGCACGTTCGTCACATACCAATTTCCCATCGATTTCTAGGTTCCCAAAACCGAGGAAAGGCTGGACATTTGTGTCTTCGAATGAAACAAATCCAAAGCCCTTGCTTCTCCCTGTCTCACGATCTAACATGACCGTCGAATCAATGACCTTGCCAAACTGCGAGAAGAAGTCTCGCATCGACTCGGACGTCACACTCCCCGCAAGACCGCCGATGAATAGTTTTGTAGCCCGTTGGTGCTCTTGTCTAGGTATTGCTCTCTTTGGATCAATCTTGGATAACGGGTAAATAATCTCCAATGCTAGATACAACACTGTACGTACAATCTTGCCATCTAGGAAGTGCTCCCGCACCATCACCGCATTAACGCTTGCGGGGTCGTCAAAGGTCAAAAAGGCGAAGCATCTCGACCGGCCAGCAGCATCGCGCATGATCGTGCATGCATCTACTTTACCGAACTGGGAGAAGTAATTCCTGAGGGACTCTGCCGCGAATGACCTTATTTTAGTACTACCGAACGGTACAGAGCAAGTAATAATGATGTAAGTACCATCGGTTGTGTCCCAGTTAAGACCGCCAATGAACATCTTGCTATAGATAGTGTCGCACGCGAGGCAACATGGTCGAAGACACGAGGAATACGTTCGGACGTCGGTAATTGAGCGCAAGATATGAAAAGCAAAGCTCGTTATTAGTTTCTGTAGAGACAGGGGGTGTTATGACAGAAGAGAGAAGGGAAGACGCTACTGTCTGTTCGCGTTATGGCTAGCCTAGCTTAGACTGGACGTAGAGAACGCGAATATGCTAGAGCTAGACTAGTCGTCCTAGTCGACATAGCTGAGTAGCTAGCGTGACGACGACCGAGCAACTACGTCGGCATTATTGACCGTCAACGACTAAGATCCAGTATTTCCCAGCGAAAACGCATGACCCAATTTTTATAGGAAGTTAGTAGAACTGTCCTATACAACTCACCCTTCATCCTTCATCTCCGAGGGCCGTACACTCCTCTCGTGGCTATGTTGGCGGTCATAACTACCCACACCTTCATGTTGGCCCAAGTCTGATGCATAGTCAGACTGAGGTTGCTGGTAAGTCGGAATTTGCTGTGTAGTCGGAGTAGCATAGGCAGGAGGTCCAGATTGAGCATTAGTCGACGCGTATTCTTCATAAGTCTGTACTGGATAGGTCTCTGTTACTTGTGCTTTGATGGCGGCGGCCGGCACGACCGGTGAAGGCTGTTTTGATATTGTCGGCTGGGGAACTTTCACAGCGGAAGCAGCAGGTGCTTGAGGGGGCGCTTCCGATAGAAGAGACTCTTCTGGTTTAGATTGGTCACCGTTTTCTGCTGAAGTTGGAAATTCAGGCTCATCGTTGCCGTAGAGATCTAGAAGGGTGTTAGGTCAAAAACTAGACAATTCGCAAGCATTGAGAATATCTACCGCCATAAAGGTCAGCATCAAGCTCAGACATGATGGTGGTTGCAGTGAGAGTGAAAAAGACCTCGGGTCTTAGTCATCGCGTCATCACTTATGCCTAAAAAAGTCCCACGCGCGGGCCGTCCGTCGGCCAACCGCCAATTTTTCTCCTCCTCGAAGAGCACATGTTCTAAATATTGACTCGATCCAAACTCGATCCGTATCATTCCGCTTGGAACCCGCATCAGTTTTTTCCGTGAGTTCTGTGACGTGTGAACCAATCGCTCCAGTGTCTCTCTTTCTCATCATGACTCACGTCCAGGTCAGCAACAACGTTACCATCGGCATACTAGGTAAGTAGTAAGGTATTGTGTGCTGGCATAGTATATATTTTTTCATCTGGAAAATACAGCTCTTCAAGGAGCTTTTGCAGAACATCAGACTGCCCTGCAAAAGCTCTCATGCCAGAAGAAAATATCGGTTGTTCTTGTTCGGACTGCAGAAGATCTTTCAGCATGTGATGCTCTGATAATCCCCGGAGGGGGTGAGACAAACGTCATTTTACCTAAACTCGCTCATATCATCCGATAGAGTCCACCACGATTGCATTCCTCGCCAAGCTCTCTGGACTTTTAGAACCTTTACGGACGTTTCTGCAGCAGAAGCCCGTGTGGGGAACTTGTGCCGGGGCGATTCTTCTTGCACAGGCAGTCGAGAACACCAAAAGAGGTGGCCAGGAACTTCTCGGTGGAATATCAGTCACCATAGCTCGGAATGGTTGGGGTTCACAAGTACGGATATCATGCTTTGCTATTTTTCGTCTGTTGACACTGTCTCGCCAAGGTCGAGTCTTTCGAGGCACCTCTCTCAATAGACGGTCTGCTGGATCCAAGCACTCCTTTTATGGGTGTATTCATTCGTGCTCCTGTGCGTGTTTCGTGTTCATCCACATAGTCGTATTTATTGGACTTTCTTTGAAAAGGTTGTCTTAGCCTTACATCCATCCACCGAGAACCCACCAATAGAAGTCATCGCTCGCTTACCGATCAACCTCGTGCCAAAGTCACAGAAGCTGATACTAAATGACGAAGGCGACTCCAGTCCACACGATTCACAAAGTATCGTTGCATTACGGCAGGGACGACATATGCTCACCACATTTCACCCGGAGCTCACAAAAGACAGTCGTTTTCATGAGTATTTTGTGCGGACTTGTGTTGTGCCTACCCTCCTGTGAAGTTGTGTGTTATGACACTGCCGCTCACCGCTGTCATGGGTTGATATGCAATAGACTGGGCCTCATAAGGTCCTTAATTGGCGATATAGCGACAATGGAAGCGCACATACCTGTCCTGAGGATAGCCAGCAGAGAAAATCCAAGCAAGAGCTGCAAGGGGCCCAAATAAATTCAGACGGCGTGTTGCTCTCGCGATGAGCTTGATAAAATCTTTTCACCGGTCATTAACGTTTAACATCAAAGGCACAGTAGCACTACTACCAGGAAATGACGAGAATGACACAGAATCTCTGTTGTTTACGAATCAAATGGATCCCAGAAGCAAACGTCTATCAGTGTACAGCGAGGGGTGTGCTATTGAGAATAATACGTGGCTCAGCGTTTGAATTCAATGATCTGTCTGTCCAAATGGCTGGGTTGACCCTGGCTGATGGCCGACCGTTTTAAAGCTGTCCTATATCAATGAGATGGATAGTAAATACCCGGGTACGTGTATACAGGAGGATTCTGGTCCTGGAGGAAATATCGAGAATGAAAACTGCAGTAAGAGATCCATTTCTTGCGCATACAGCTACAATATCTCTAGTGTCCTGACGTCCGTCATGCCTTGAACAGAATTCACGTCTTTGACTTGTGCGATGATATCACGATCTGATGCGATTCTCTTGTATTCTCCACCGCGTTGCTGTGCTAGCAAGAATGCGCTAAACGGCTGTCCAAGACGGATAATCAATCGCATTGCACGCTCGCTCGAATCTGAATCAACCGGGCACTGTTCTATGGGCCAGGGTGATGGGAGAGTAAAATCATACATGCTCTCTGTATCGTCTGCATAGTCAGAAAGCTGAAGACGACGATCCCAGGGACGGACGAGTAAGAATGACCGTCCGGGTCGAGCGGGTCTTCCTCGTGAGAACTGAAGCAATTTGTTCTCCGTGGTGATCTCCAGGTCACGAAGCCCGTCCGCCTTGACTTCATACGTGAAGTAGGTCTCTTCATATCTAATGAATCTCCGTCTAACTTCTGTGATAGGGAATGCGTTACATGGCAGATGCAGCCGGCGGTGAGCGAAACGTGGAGCGCTCAGGCAGTCGAGCGAGCTGTACATTTTCAGAGCTGACTCGACAGTCACAGTACTTTTCAGCGACGATACCAATTTCGGCATCTCATCTTCAGAGATGGATGGCAGCTTGTAGGGTGGGGCTTCGTATGAAGTGATGTCGGCAGGCAGACAGCTATTAAATTCGGATGATGTTCCGACCCAGTCCAGGGCAGTAATGTCCCCAGACTCAGCGATAATCTCCTGCAAGAGCCGGCCGAGTGCCTTTTGCTTCTTCTCACCGTACATGATAGGGAGCTGAACACCAAATATTCCAAATAAGGAGTACGCAATGTCTTCCTCCACTGCGGTTACACGCGTCGACGCCCATTGCAGTTTTTCGCGGGCGTTTATCATGCCAGGACGGAAGGCGACAAGGATTTGTGCATCTATCCCCGTCGCATCTTCCAACTCCTGCATGATCGCGACAGACTGCTTGTGATTGGGAGAGCAGTCATCGAGATACGGGGTCCAGTCACTTTGGTAGAAGCGGATGACCTTCGGGGCGAGGAATTCTGGTACGGTCCATCCTCGCGTGTTCCATGCGCTCTTTGCCAGTGCGCCCGGCTTCGACGAAGGCGGAACATCTGATAGGTAGACCATCGTGAGCGCTGAAGTGCGATACCATACGAACATGGAATTGAGGGATGTTTGAAGTTCGACGTTGTTAGCCTGGTCGATGCAACATGAATCAATCCACCCCCAGCGATACCCCGCAGCGCGAGCGGTTTTGCAGAAAGACTGCAATTTCATGATGCCGTCAACCGGATTCAACTCATCAACGACTTTGTCCTGGACGTCGTGTAGCAGTGGTTCCTTTCCTTCCCAACGATGGGATAGCGTGACACAACGGAAGTACATCGCCACGACATCTTTGATGTGTTCCATTCGGAGATCTACGTGCATCAATTTTGATGACAAAATCTCCTTGTATTCTGTGCTCGTTATAAAGGCATTGATCTGTGCCTCTCGATCACATAGTCGGCCAGTAAATGTGTCGAGCAGACGATGGGGAGCGTCGTCGAGCTGAGCCTTGACAGTCTGTTGAATAGCCCCTTTCACTTCAGATGGATTGACGTATTGTTGGCGCAGTTCTGGAAAAACAGTCAAGCATGATTGAGGATGTGGTTATTCAGGCGTACTTTGTGTTTGCGTGTCAGGGGCATTTTCCAACTTGGAAAGCATAGTTTGGAATGCATCGATCGCTTCATCATATCGATGTGCGCCATGAAGTACCGCATGCTTTAACTGATATCCAAAATAAGATGAGGGGTTGACTTTGATGACCTGCGCATCACCAAAATGAGCGTCTAATATGAAACAGTGACTGTCATCGCACCTTTTCCACGTCAAGGAGTGCACCATCCCATAGCATTTCCCCCGACCTCGCCTTACTGCGGTTCGCAAAGATGGTGTCGGTTGCAAAATCGAGGTCGATCGCTCCAGTGTAAAGCTCGATAGCCTTGTCGTAATCAGCCACAGCAAGGGCATCATCTCCACCCGCAGTATAAAGCATGCCGCAATCTTGTGTGAAAGCTAAGTGATACGAGGTTGAGAATTATACCCGGTTGACATCACGAAGACTTGCCAGTGGACCAATCAATGCAGCGTGCTTTCGTAGCCTCATCAGCCCTATCCATCATGTACCGATATGCTTCGATGGCTTCTGGAAGTCTGCCTGCCCGAAGGAGCACATTGCACCGATTCTGATGTGCAGTTTGCCACAAGGACTTGAGGTCCCACCCGAATAACTAGAAAAAGCACAGTCAGGCGTGAAAAATGTCGAGTTGCATTGCAATTAACTTACCACCACGAAGATATCATATCTAGAATGGATGGCCGACATAGACGGGAAACCAATGGTGTTCACGGCAGCAGTGAAGTGGTCAGCCGCTTCGTTGTGACGTGCGTAATCTAATGCATCCATTCCCAATTGCATGTGTAGATAAGCCTGAAGTACGAGGTTCGCAAAATCAGCATCGACGCACGAATCTAGAATTGACTGTGTCAGGAGCACTCACTTCTACGATGCCACAGGCAAGAGAACTTGGATTGGGACGAGTAGTAGTTAACACTTGAACCCGCAGAATTGCCTCGTCACGTTGATTTGCATTGAAAAGGGCGATGGCCTGACAGCTGTCGTGTGAGTAGCGAGTACGTGAGACGCGATGAACATACCTTGATCAAAAGTAGAAGACGAGTTTTATTCAAGTCTGCGTCCACGTACATGGACGCGATATCAAACGCTTTCATCGCATCTTGGAACTGTCGTTTTCCACAGAGAGCGATGCCCTCGGAGACACAGCCTATCAAGGATGGTTGGATACTGATGCTCTATATCACCATATGAGTTGGTTTGCATCAAAAGGGTCACGACGGGAAAGTACTAACTTTGAGCGCATCATCAAGTGCGCAGTCCCAGTCTGAATTTCTTGCCTTGACAAACGAGCGATTCGCGTAAGAATTGTAGTCGTTGCCATCAGCGTTGATTTCTTGGGTGAACAGCCTGACAGCAGTAGGCAAGTCCCCGGTGATGCATGCATTGCGGGCTGTCGTGTTAATGGCGAGGATCTGCATCACGCATGGTTAGATTGTGTGGTAAGAATGAAGGCCAGAAACAAGCCTCGCAATCGGTCTGTTGAGCCTTGGGATCAAAATCGAGGTCGTAAATCAATATGCAAGAAGATGAACCGACTGACAATGAACAGAAACTCACATCATTCGCCGCATGTTCCTCCAAAGTGTCTTCCCGTAACGGATCCTTCAAGACTGATACCTGGTCCTCGGGAATGTCCTCCAGGAAAGGAACTGCCCACTTTGAGATCATAGCACCTCTACCTCCGCTGAAAATGTGCTTGCCATCCGCAGAGAACGTGACACAATACACCTGATTGGGGTGCTTAAATATGGCGATAGTTCGTCGGTCCGAAAGCCGCCAAAGGTGGACCTGTTGGTCTTCAGATGCGGATGCGATAAGGGTGCCAGTAGGGTTCAAGGCAACCATGTAGATAGTGTCAGTATGGCCTTTGCAGGGTTCACCGACCTGCTGCCAGGTCGATGAATCCCAGATCCGTATGGTGGGATCACTTGTAGAACCAGCTGAGACAAGCTGTTTGCTATCAGGCGTCCATGCGAGCGAGTAATTCCATCCTCTGTTGAATACAGAGTGACCCTGGAACTTTACGATTCGTTGACTCTTGCGTGGATTCCATATTTGGATATCATTCTTGGTTGCAATGGCAAGATATTCACCAGACGGGGAATACCGAACGCAGAAGATTTGAGCACCACTCCCAGGGCCACAATTGATTGGATCTCCTTGCACTCGCCATGTTTTTGTGCTCCAGAGCTTCGTTATGGTGTCAAATGAGCCACTCGCCAGAAATGTGCTGTCTGGGGAAAAGTCGAGCGAGAAAACCTTGTTGGAGTGGACTTTAATGAGCTGGGTGAGAGGCTCGCCGTCTCTGTTCCAAGCTATGACCTCTCCGCCGAAATCACCGCTTGCAATCCATTGCCCGTCTCCGGATACTGCAATTCCTGCCACTTCGTTGCAGTGCCCCTTCATTATCTTCAATACAGCACCCTCTTCTAAGTCCCACAGACGAAGGGTCCCGTCGTACGAGGCCGTCACCATACGACGTCTATCAGGGAAGACTGCGACTGCCGAGACACTATCTTTATGACCTTCAAATCTTCGATTAGCCGTAGTGATTTGAATGGCAGGCTGTTCTGCTTCCGTCATTCTGCTCGATGTGGATACTGTTGAGCACGACTTGTCAGAGAGCTTGTGGGTGTCTTTATCTAAGTTTCAGGGCGCGTGTACGGGGCCTTTTTGCGGTTCTTCGCGGCCCCAGGCCCATCTAAAAAGTTGAGCTGGTCTATACCTGTGCTGAACAAGCCACATTTGGTGTAGCTCAGGACGATGTTCGTCTTGGTTTACTGCGGCTGACGGGGTCTAGGTGTCGAGGTGACAGGTCCACAGGATAGCATGCGGTTCATTATCGTGACAGGCGCAACTGTCGACATCCTGGCGCCTGCATGTCATCGCCTGGAGGTGAATTAACTTGAGTACTTGTAGGTGCCTGCCAGGCCTGTGCCTACTGCCGAAGTTAGAGAGTCGCCAGCCATGCACGATATATATCACAGTACAGTTTGAATGAGCCGAGACGAACTACAACTTACAAGGGAGGATCCTCGGCTTGTCTCGCATGGGTCGGAACTTACAAAATAGATAGAAAAGGTGAGCATCGCAAATATTCACGGTAATGATTCATGAATAAGTTGCGGTGAAGCCCGCAAACGACTGTGGGAAGTTATTGCGATTTTTAGGCAATATGTTTGCAGGTAATGAATGCATTACTTAATGTCCTTATTTCGTGATTATATGGATTGGTTCTATACTCCCCTTCTTTGAAGTTTATTGAATGTCCTTTGCCGTCATTGCTTACTCACATACTCTCCAATCACACTGCAGCTGATCCGACCTTTGTACCTGGTCGTACCCTCACACTGCCTCTTTACGACTTGCATGCGCCACCGGACCATCCTTACGTGCGGACGCCATACGCATACTCAGCGCTGGTACAGCTCTATGCGAGATCACGCCAACTGGACTCTGCTAGTGTACGATTTGCCCGTATGGGAAACGTATCACCGTGGTGCCAATTTGGGTGTGAGTGTCTGGAAACGCCGCATCATCTATTTGCCAAGTGTCGTCGTTTCGCGGAAACGCGCATCAAGTCGTCGCAGGAAGTGGTAGATACAACTTCCATGCTTCTTTGTGAAGCAAAAACCACTATTCGAACAACGGATGTTTATCTACACTCCGCACGGCGCTTGTTCGTTGACGACGCTTCGGTGTGGCCTTTGCGCGAGACTCGCTATTACTTAGGAACTGTACCTGCGATTGAACCACCAGATCAAATAACCACTGTGTTGGCGACAAAAATAGCGCACGTTTGGCATGTGGCCAGCATTCGTTTGGTAGGGTAAATATGGGGGATGTACAAGTGTACTACAAATCCAACGATCGGCAAGGCTGAACGTGTGTTTGATTTGCCTAGACATTTGCGGCATTTGCAGTCACATTCATAGTGACTATTTATTTCGAAGAGCTGACGCTCCTTCCTTCCTCCTCTCGCACGGACACAGCTTCTTTCTGACATTTGTGATCCCTTGGATATACGTTCTTCTCTTACTTCCTTCTCACTCAACTCGACGGTCTCTTTGCAGTTCCCTGCTATATCGCCCCTACCTCCTAGCTGATCTCTCTCACCGGGCGCCAGTATTCACAGACGTTCACACACAGTTCCACGCGAGAACGTCAACGACAACGGCTGCCATCACATTTCCAACTTACATCTTTTTCAGTCTTGACTACACACCAACAAATCATCTGCTACCGCTAGTGGTCCTACAACCTTCAAAGCTCACTTATAAACCGCTCGTCATTGCCGCCCATTTTTTATGTTTGTCATGCGTTGGGTCAACTGGGATGCCTCGTTCATTTTCACACTGTAGTCCGGGTCTCACATCCATTTGTACACCATGATGCTGATGACAACTTGATTCATGGTGAAGATTATGTTCCTCATCCATCCAACCCGCAACCGTTAGCCACAGGGCAGCTCATGTCTAGAGAAGACGGGGGCATTCCGTGGGCATTGCTCATCTCATACATCAAGTTCACACTCTTGGATTATTGACACCCAAAATGCATACCGCTACAATATTTCTAGCGTCTTGACCATGTCCAAAATAGAAGAAAGGTCTGTAACTTGTGCAATAATATCATGATCCGACGCGATCCTCTTGTATTCTCCGCCACGCTGCTGCGCTAGCAAAAATGCTCCAAAAGGCTGTTCAAGGCGAGCAGTCAACCGCAAGGCTCGATCGCTCAGTTCCGGATCAACCGACTCCTGTGCTTCAGGGAACCCGCCAGAGGAAAAGGAATTCTGTAACGGAGACCCGGGCGCAGACCAATAATCTTCTTCGCTCTGCATGTCGTCATCAACGTCAAGCAGCCCTGCCAAGCCAGACGGCTCCGCAAAGTCAGGAAGCTCCAGGAGATAACGATTCCACGGACGAACAAGAAAGAACGTCTGCATAGTGGGTCGCGGTGATGAGAACTGAGTCAGCTTATCCTTCGTGGTGATCAGCAGGTCATGAAGCCCGTCGGCCTTGACTTCATATATCTCCTGGTCCTGAGCTCGACTCCGTTTGACTGCTGTGACGCGAAATGCGATGCAAGGCAGATGCAGCCTGCAGTTCGCGAAACGAGGCGCATTCAGGTCGTCAAGCAGGGTGTAGATTGACATTACGAAATCCACACCCGCGACATGTCGGAGCGACGAGATTGATCTCTGAATCTCGTCTTCAGACAGAGATGGCAGGGTGTATGGTGGTGCCTTGTATGAAGTAATGTCGGCTGGCAGACAGCTATTGAATTCGGATGATTGCCCCACCCAGTCCAGGGCACTGATGTCGCCCGATTGAGCTACTACCTCCTGCAAGAGCCTCCCAAGCGCCTTTTGCCTTTTCTCTCCATAAATGACAGGTAGGTTGACGCCGAAGATACCGAACAATGAGTATGCGATGTCTTCCTGCCACGTGGTGACACGCGCCGAGACCCATTGGAGTTTCACCCGGGCGTCTCTCATCCCTGGACGGAAGGCAACAAGGGACTGTGCATCTATGCCCGTCGCATGTCCCATCTCCTGCATGATTTCAAGGGAATCCTTGTGATTGGGAGAACGATCGTCGAGATATAGAGACCAATCTTTCTGATAAAATAGGACAAATTTTGGAGCCAAGAATTCTTGAACTGTCCATCCTCGCGTATTCCAAACGCTACTTGCGAGTGCCCCAGGCTGCGATGAAGGTGGAACATCCGACAGGTAGATGATGGTAAGTGCCGAGTGGCGATACCAGATGAACATGGAGTTGACCGATTGTTGGACCTCGACATTGTTAGTCTGGTCGATGCAACAGGTATCGATCCATGTCCAGCGATACCCCATATCACGAGCAGTTTTACAGAATGACTGCAACTTTGGGATGCCGCCGACTGGATCCAAGTCGTACACCACCTTGTTCTGGATGTCATGCAGCGATGGCTCCGCCCCTTCCCACCTATGCGATAGCATGACATAACGGAAGTACATCGCCACCACGTCTCGAATGCGCTCCATTTGAAGGTCTGCATGTTTCATTGTGGATGACAAAAGTTCTTTGTACTCTGCGCTCATTCTGAAGGCATTGATCTGTACTTCACGATTGCACAAGCGACCAGTGGAGGTGTTGATTAGACGATGCGGGGCGTCTTCGAGCTGAGCTTTGATCCTGTCTTCAATAGCACCTTCTGCTTCAGATGGACTAGCATACTGTCGACGCAAGTCTGGACAAGGAGTCAACTATGTTTGATGGATGTGCTATTTGGGACGTACTTGTTGTTTCCGTGTCGGGAGCATCTTCCAACTTGGAGAGCATGATTTTGAACGCCTCGATGGCTTCGTCATATCGATGTGCGCCATGAAGTACCTCATGCTTCAACTGATATCCAAAGTAAGATGAAGGGTTGAGTTCGATGACCTGCGCATCATAAAAATGAAAATGAGCGTCAAATACGAAACAGTAGCTGTCATCATACCTTTTCCACGTCAAGAAGTGCATCGTCCCATAGCATTTTGCCCGACCTCGCCTTACTGCGCTTTGCAAAAATTGTATCGGTTGCCAAATCAAGGTGGATCGCTGCAGAGTAAAGCTCGATAGCCCTGTCGTAATCACCTGCAGCGAGGGCATCATCACCAACGGCAGCAAGGTCAGTCGCTCCGGTAGTAGGATAGAGCATGCTGCAATCGTGTTTGAAAGCTAAGTGACATGAGGTTGAGAATTATACCCGGTCGACAGCATGAAGACTTGCCAGTGGACCAATCAATGCAGCGTGCTTTTGTAGCCTCATCGGCCCTATCCATCATGTATCGATATGCTTCGATGGCTTCTGGAAGTCTACCTGCCCGGAGGAGCGCATTGCACCAATTCTGGTTTGCAGTTTGCCACAAGGACTTGAGGTCCCACCCGAATAACTAGAAAAAGCACAGTCAGGCGTGAAAAATGTCGAGTTGCATTGCAATTAACTTACCACCACGAAGATATCATATCTAGAATGGATGGCCGACATAGACGGGAAACCAATGGTGTTCACGGCAGCAGTGAAGTGGTCAGCCGCTTCGTTGTGGCGTGCATCGTCTAATGCATCCATTCCCAATTGGACGTGTAGATAAGCCTGAAGTGCGAGGTTCGCAAATCAGCATCGACGCACGAATCTGAAGTTGACTGCGTCAGGAGCACTTACTTCCACGATGCCACAGGCAAGAGAATTTGGATTGGGACGAGTAGTAGCTAGCTCTTGAACCCGCAAAATTGCCTCGTCACGTTGATTTGCGTTGAAAAGGGCGATGGCCTGACAGCTGTTGTGTAAGTAGCGAGTACGTGGGACATAATGAACATACCTTGATCAAGAGTAGAAGACGAGTTTTATTCAAGTCTGCGTCTACGTACATGAACGCGATATCAAACGCTTGCATCGCATCTTCGAATTGTCGTTTTCCACAGAGGGCGATGCCCTTGGAGATACAGCCCATCAAGGATGGCTGAATACTGATGCTCTATATCACCATATAAGTTATTAGTCTGCGTTAAAAAGGTCACGACGGAACGGTGCGACTCACTTTCAGTGCATCATCAAGTGCGCGGTCCCAGTCTGAATTTCTTGCCTTGACAAATGATCGATTCGCATATGAATTGTAATCTTTGGTATCAGCGTTGATCTCTTGGGTAAGTAGCCGGTCAGCAGTAGGCAAGTCCCCGGTTATACATGCATTGCGGGCTGTCGTGTTGATGGCGAGGATCTGAATCACGCATGGTTAGATTGCGTGGTAAGAACGAAGGCCAGAAACAAGCCTCGCAATCAGACTGTTGAACCTTGGCATCAAGATTGAGGATCAACAGGCAAGGAGACGAGCAAAGAATGGGAACTCACATTATCTGCTACTTGTTCCTTCAGAGTGTCTTTCCGTGATGCGGCATCCTTGTAGAAAATGAGATAAAGAAGCGACGGAAAATGAACAGAATCTCACATCTGATGCCTGGTCCTTAAGGATGTCCTCCACCAAAGGTACTGCCCACTTTGAGATTATCGCATCTTTTCCTCCACTCAGGATGTACTTGCCATCCTCGGAGAAGGCGACACAATACACCTCATCAGAGTGCTTGAATATGGCGATGGTTTGTCGATCCGAAAGGCGCCAAAGGCGAACCTGGTTGTCTCTAGATGCAGACGCGAGAAGGGTGCCAGTAGGGTTCAAGGCAATCATGAAGATAAAGTTAGGATGGCCCTTGCAGGGTTCACCGACCTGCTGCCAGGTTGCTGAATCCCAGATTCGTATGGTGGGATCACTCGCAGAACCAGCCGAGACAAGCTGTTTGCCATCGGGCGTCCATACAAGTGAGGTATTCCATGCTCCATTGAACGCAGAGTGACCCTGGAACTTTGCGAGGCGCTCTCTCTTGTGTGGATTCCATATTTGAATATCATTCTTGGTTGCGATGGCAAGATATTCACCAGACGGCGAATACCGAGCACAGCGGACATCGGACCCACAATTGATTGGATCTCCTTCCACCAACCATGTTTTCGTGTTCCAGAGCTCCACTGTGGTATCCCATGAGCCACTCGCCAGGAATGTGCTGTCTGGGGGAAAATCAAGCGACCCTATCGCTTTGGAGTGGACTTTGATGGGCTGGGTGAGGGATTCGCCATCTTTATTCCAGACTATGACCTCTCCACCATCATTACCACTTGCGATCCATTCCCCATCTTTTGATACTGCAAGTTCTCGTATGCCGGAGCGATTCCCTTCCATTATCTTCAATACAACACCGTTTTCCAAGTCCCACAGACGAAGCTTCTTGTCGTACGAGGCTGTCACCATACGGCGTCTATCGGGGAAGACTGCAACTCCAAAGATACTATCTCTATGACCTTTAAATGTTTGAGTAGTGGTGGTGATTCGAATGGGGGGCTTTTCTGCCTCTGCCATTCTGCTCGAGGTGGATGGTGTTGAGCACGACTTGCTGGAGAGGTTGTGGGTGTCTTGATCTAAGTTTGAAAGGTGCGTGTACCGGGCCTTTTTGTGCTTCTTCACAGCCTCAACCTGCTTCGTGTATCACAACTGTGTCTCCCAGCTATGATGTCATATTGATAGGCTGAGTAGTTTCAAGCTTGCTCATGCAGTGATGTGGCAAGCAACGGATCTGCCATCATAGCTTCAACGTCGGCAATCACATATCTGATTACGACCTCAAGACAATTTATGAGTTTAATGCCTCGATGCTGAAGAGGGTTGGAAAGCCACACGAACCTTGTTATAGGTCTTGTATAGGTCTAGCACTGTCATTCCATTGTGCTCTCCTCGCAAGCGCTACTCATGACCACATCGTTAACCTCTGGGCCTTCGAGTCCTGCCAGCTCTTTGATGCCCAACATCCTCGCAGCATTATATTCTTACCTGACTCACGCCAATTGGTTTACATGATGGTCTGAACCAAGATTCGTATGCGTGATACCATTGTTCCCGTACAGCAAGAACCCGATATATGCATCTCACGCGCACAGATCTATTCCTTAAGCGCCAAATGCATGGCACGAGCTATAATAATTAATGTTATAGGATGTATGCAAAGTGATACGTACTAGTTTTGTGATTGTAGATATACGAGCTGTTGGTATCCTTGACGTCATATATAGCATATTTGATGACATGAATCAATCTAGATCGATCTAAACGTCAAAAGCAATAAAATGATCTGACTACCAGGTCAATCTCATTGAGATCGCATCTCATGGGTATAGTCGTCCCAAGCCTTAAAGCTTAATTATCAAAACTGTTGAGGATCACAGCCTACAAAGCTTTTTAGATGAAATGATTCCCAAACATGGGACCAAAGCTTGGTACAGTCCAGCAAGCTCAACGCATCGTATATGCTCATCCGTGATACCCAACGATGGTTGGCTCTTCTAAAGACGTTGGGCTATCATCCTGGCAAGGTGGCCAACGCCTGTTTGATCCCATCAGCGAACAAACTGAGGAATGTCGTCCAGCAAACGTCTATCAGCGTACAGTGAGAGAATACAATACATGGATGTAGCATAGACCTACGACAGAAAGGTGTGATGGTACCATGATTAATCTCGCTTGTCCCGTCCTCCCCGTTTGCTGTCCCCGTCTCTGCGTCGATCGCGGTCATCGTAGTCCCGGACTCTGTCACGACGTTTATCGACATCACGATCTCGGTCCCTTCGGTCCAAGTCTCTGTCGCTGTCCCTTCTACTATCATCTCTTCTCCTCCTGCCATCTCGGTCTCCTCGATCGTCACGGTCGCGTTCTCGTCGCCCATCGCGATCACCTTCCCTCCTAGACTTGTCGTAGTCATCATCCCTCCTTCTATCACTCCTCCTTTCACGATCATCGTCCCTCCTACTGCTCTTCGCTTCACTCCTTCTCTCAGGCGACCGCGAAGCCCTCCTCGAAACAGTCGCACTCCCATTCCTGCTCTCCTCCCTACTGCTTTCCTGTCTCACAAGCGGGATATACCGCTTCTCGTCCCCTCGCCGTTTCTTCTTCTGCTTACTTCCGTCATCTAGTACCTCCTGTTCCTTCGCGCCAATTCCTAAGAGTGCAGGGCGCGATTTCGGTAGGTAAGGCTCCACCAGTGCATTCTTCTTTGCTCGTTCCGAGCTTGTAACAGCCCCGCCATCCACCCAACCCATGCCACGAAGCATAGCAGCTCCAAACGCAGTGATGGGCACGCGCGCATAGTCCTCGATAGTCGCAACATCCGGAAGATCAGCAACGTCTTGCTGAAGGGCTTCAGTTTCGCTGGGAGGAACAGGAATAGAATCGATCTGAGGCGCCGAGTCCATACCCCCATCCAGCAGCGCACGAAGAGCCTTTTGGTCTTCCGTCTCTTCTACAATATTTTCTTTTTGTCTCTCTTCTACCATCATGTTATTCTCTTCGTCAGTAGACGTCGTACTTGTGTCTACTTTGACTTCTTTGTTGCCGAACTGGATACCTGAGAGTTGAGGGCCGGAGTTGATCGAGTCACGCGTTCCAAGTCCTCCAACGCTCCCGTCCGCACCTGTACTTGCTCTAGCAGAGTCAGGGACGAACCGTGCAGCCCCTGCACGACGTTTCCGTGCAGCCTCCCGCCAGTCCGGATTCGGCTTCGAAGGAATGACAAGAGGGCCCGCAGGGGCTTTGTTCCTGGACTTTTTTCCATTCACACTAGATGATACATGCACCTTTTGTGAGCTGTAGAAATGTTGAAAAAAGCAGAGGGAGACGCACCGCTGTGCACCGAACTTGTTGAAAGAAGTGATTAGCTCGTCTTCGAGACGGCTGTCTTCATCGTCGCTGGTGTCTGGCTCGTCTTTATCCCCACCATCGGCGAACACGATCCCGCTCTCCTCTTCATCATCGGAATCCTCGCGGGAGCTGTAAGTACGAGGAGAACCTGTGAGTGGGGAGCCAGAAGCGGAGCTGGCAGCACTGGAGAGGTGGCGAGGGAGTGCTGATAGTTTGAATTTGTCGCTGGCCCTGTCGTTGTCGACTGCCGGGGGTTTTCGGACAGTAAATGATAATTTAGACTCCATCGTTGTGCAAGATACAGCAAGCGTTCACCGGAGGAATGAATTCAAAGCTTAGTCATCATGACAGACACATTCTGGATCCGTGCATAGAATTGAGTTGGCACGCTAAAAGTACACTTGGCTCGCGTAGAAGTGTACATAATATCCCTAGTCAACTCCGTCATGGTCCCGTTCCTCAGCATCACTATCAGATCCATCCCCATCAGCCGTAGCCCCGCCACTTCCCCAAAACCTATTCAACAGATTCCTTACAACCCGTATGGGCATGGGCTGAAACAACCACATCAGCACCTTCGTTGGAAAAGTCAGACATCGAAAGGCAGCTCACAGCAATATACTCGTCCTCGTCCTCATCCTCATCTTCCTCCTCGCTTTGATCCTCGTCCGCCAACACTGGCGCTGCTTCTGCTGCACCTCTCGGAGGCATCGGTTCCAAGTCCAACCCATCATCATCACCCTCCTCCACCGGCAATCCACCCGGCATACCCCCTCCACCTGGCACACCAACGCCGCCCTCCCCAGCCATCGCAAAATCAAGCATCATATCATTGAGCGCCTCTTCTGGCATCTCCGCCATCATCTGCACAAACTGCACCACGCCACCAGGTAACTGTCTCGCCAGCCCGGGATTCGCATGAAACAACCTTTCGATTTGCGCCCTGATACCTGCGTCTGGGATGAGTCGCTCCAACGCGCGCGCGTCCCGTCGGCGAGGACGCACACTGAATATCTCTTCTGCACCTGCAAAGAAGGCATCATTATATTCGGAGGATGCTGTAAGTGGTGGAAGTGGATCGCACGCAAGCTGTTTGGCTAGCAAGACAGAGCGTGGGATGAAAGGGGTAAGGTTCCGGAAGCTTTGTTCGAGGACGAGAATATGTCGATAGACAGAGTAGCGAAGCGTTGTGGAGCCGTACATTTGGAGGAACCGCTCACGAGTTGGATTGGAGCGTTGGGCATTGAGTGACGATCGAATTCCATTAGCGGTATTTTCGAACCATTTCATATGTGAAGCAGATTTCCATAGAGGTGCAGATCGCTGAGTATAGAGATGAGATAAGAGGTGGAGAATGCTTTGCGCAGGTGACAGCCCGCTTCAATCGCTGTTAGTACACGGGTATCTGACACATCAATTTAACGCACATTCCGTCAGTTTGAATCCGGAATGCTCTGTGTTCGCGCAGCTCCGGAGACAGTGAAATATCACACTTGTCAGCCAGGAGTGGTACCACCTCTGGGAAGGCTAGCATAGCCTGCTTCAGCGCGTCCGTACTGCTGCCTATGCTCTACCATTTCAAGATTAATACACCGCTTACGGTACAAACAGAAAATTTACCTGCCCCCCGCCTGCTTTTTCCCTCGCAAAAAGCGCCAGGGCTCTCGCATACGCCCATCCAGGTAGCGCACTTGGACTCAGATGATCCTCAAATGCCGTCTTTGCGCAAGCAAACTCGGAGTATACGTCCAAGAGCCATTGCCCCATACCTGATTTGATGGAAACGAAGTCAAGATGGAACAGGACACCGTGCGGATCCGTCCATGGTTCGAGAGAGTACAGAAGGCGCCCAAACTCGAACGCGGTACGGATACATCCGCGACGCTGGAGATCACTGTGACGAATTAGTCTCCAAGATATATGCACAGGAGAGGGACATACCTGACCTGCCGATGCAATGCAAGGAAGAAGGGACGATTCTCGACGCGGTTGAAATCGAGGCGGTTGAGTCCATTCGTGAAGCTGTATGACCCTAAGAAAGCGCGTTCATATGAGAAGAGCGCCCGATCCACGTATTCCACGGCTTGGCTGTAATCTGTTCTGATTTTATAACATGAACATGTTCGAAAACGGACCACTGACCTTCTTGATGGCGATATACCTCTGCCAGCTGCAGCAGTGTATCGCCATGCCACGGGAGCTTCTGCAAAACTCCCCGCAGCGCTTCGGGATCTTGTCCCAGGGATGACTATGAGCGTTATGAGAAGGTATACGATGAAAAACCCTACCTGCTGAGGATACGGCCTGCATAAAGGTTTTTGTGGCACCCTTGTACCTCTTACTATATTCAACAGTCCACCACTTGTCTCCTGCAGCTGGACTATTTCGATCTATAATCTTTTGTTGCACCTCCTCGTCGGTTAATGGGCGAGAAGAGAGTCCTTCACGTTGTTTGATCATGCTCCATGATGGATCAGGTCGTGTAAGTTGTGAACGCTGAGCCTGGGTTGGAACAACACCCCTCCGTTTTTTTGAGCCGCCAGAGGAGGAAGTCTCTGACGATTTTGCAGCTATAACGGCTCTTGCGCCAAAGAACTTGCGCATTTCTGCTTCTGCATCGAGATTGGATACTGACACAGATAGAAGGGACACAAGAGATGCATTTCGAGTAGTTGACGATGAGGAAGTTGCCACGCTTTGGAGTTCTGGGTATCTTTGCGTTGGTGAGCATATTAAGCGGCAGTTAGAATTTTAGACGCACTTTTGGGAAAGCTCTGCGAGCGCCGTGTCTAGATCATCCAGGCCGTCTTTCTTCTTCTCTCTTCCCTTGCCTTTCTTTGAAGATTTAGGCTGCTGTGGCTTCGGTGCCTCAGCGGGTTTAGCCTGCTGAGGGTTTGCCGGTGCATCGGATGCTGCTGGTTTCTTCTTCTTCTTCTTTGCCTGCGTTCAAATTAGTAGTCAGTCGGTCTCAAATAATAGTATATAGCAGTTGCGCGCCTTCTTTGCCTTTGTGGGCTTGAATGTTTCGTCATCGCTGTTAGATCCATCGTGGTCATCTTCTGCAGTGGAAAGCTGGGTCCATCGTTACGATCTCCGCAAAGATTCGTTCCAGGATTGAACTTACCGCTGCAAACCCCGAGGGTGCTATCGGCGCTGGTTCCTCCTCGCTGTCGGTATCGACGGCCGCAGCAGTCTGGTTTCCTAACGCAAGAAGCTCTTCCTGCTCGCGCTGCTGTCGTTTATTGATTCGTGCGGGCATGGAGTATGGTTGTGGTCGATGATTAATGGGGGCTATGTTTATCTTTGGTTATTATCTAATCTTCTCAAGTACTCCAGTTCAACAAGCCTCTTAAGTTCCATCCTTTCTATCTTCTGCACGTTTGCTCCCGACTTTATTTTTCGACATTCGTTTTTCGTCGCCATCGTCGTTGGTAAGTTCAAGGAACACACCCCTGATTCAGCACTTCGTAAACTCAAGGCTGCTGTAGGGTCGAGTAACTCGAGTCTAACCCCTTCAAACATGGAAGCACAGCCCCCCGCGCTGCTCAGTGCACCGCGGATGTTGACGCTTGTAGGATCTATCCTCGTATCCCTCAGTTCAGGGACAAATTATGTGCGCAAAATTTCCATGATATGTATATGTGTGTGGCGTTGAAAGTAGTTCTGCTGCTACCAGATATACTCTGGTGAGTAATACTATGTGTGTCGATAAGACTCTTGGCATGATGTCCTATCACAGCATACGCTCCGCAATTAGGCGCACGTTTGCTCCTCTCCCACACCCAGTTGAATGTCATCGGCCTCGCAGGGAATAGTACGCTAATCATTCAAATCAACTCGACCAAATCCTAAACTTTATTCAGTGGGTGTATATCTGAGCGGCCCAGCCTGGGGTCGAGTAGTCGATTCAAAGGGTCCTCGCATTCCGCTTATCAGTGCCTTTGCCTGCCTCCTCATAGGATATCTCGGCATAAGGGGCATCTACGACAATGGTGCTGGAACAGCAATATCGTTCATGCATCTTGTCATCCTCATCGCCTGTACTTTCATAACCGGGTTGGCTGGAAATTCGGGCCTTGCCGTTGCTGTAAATACTACGGCCAAGAGCTTCCCTGAAACCTCGGTTTGTTTCCGTACTTTGATCCATGCATGAATAAGTCAAACTGAAGGAATGGCCTTTTATGCAGCGCGGAACTATCACAGGTCTCGTTCTGTCTGGTTTCGGCTTATCCGCGTTTTTCTTCGCTACAGTCGCCAGTATCGCATTCCCTGGTGACACATCTGCTCTTCTCCTTGTCCTGGGCCTCGGAGCTGCCATGCCCATGCTTCTTGGTCTTGTGATAGTCCGTCAAATACCGTTACCTCCTCCGAGTACCACACTCGGTATCGAAGGGGGCCTGCATGGACGTGAGGGGTACCACCCGATTCCGAGCGGTGATGCCGCTCTATTTATTCATGAGAATGACAGCAACACCTCCCTTCTTGATCCCACGGAACTCGTACACGAGGCACCAAACTATCACGTCCCCGAATCATCGACCGCGGTGGAACTTGTGCCGGACCGGATTGTATCGAGAGGGTCGAGTGTCAGGAGGAGTGCGAGTCGCGCAAAGCCCGCGCATGATGGGCCTAATGTCCATGGGAAGCAACTGTGGCTTACCCCAGAGTTTTATCTTATTTTTGTTATCATGTCGCTTCGTGAGTTGAGTTTATCTGCTTTTCATACCTTCTGACCAATGCTTGCATGTATTAGTAAGTGGAACCGGGCTCATGTGTAGGTGTTTCTCATCAGGGTCAATTGGGTCGCCTCACTCAAAGTCCTGTAGATATCAATAATGTTGGTTCCATATCTCAGGCATTATATGCCAAAGGGAATCCTAATTACGACGAGTTAGAAGCTTTGCGATGGCAAGCCGCACAGGTTTCAACTCTCAGTGTTTGCAACTTCGCAGGACGTATTCTTATTGGTTCATTTATTTGTCCTTCTACTTCGCTATCTTTGCTTATTTCATACACCAGGATTAATTGCGGACTTGATCCGAATTCGCCTACGTCTCCCTCGTGCATACTGTTTTTGCATCGTTTCAACGCTCTTTGTCGTCTCTCAATTGTCTGCCATCAGCATCAACGACGTTGCACATCTTTGGAAAGCAACCGCGCTACTTGGGCTCGCATACGGTGGTCTGTTCGGCATTGCCCCTACGATTATCATTGACTGGTTTGGACTGTGTGAGTAGTAGACTAGGTGCTGATGAGTCACGCCCAAAGGGACTGATGTGAATTATTCTAGCACATCTCTCGGAGAATTGGGGATATGTCTCACTCAGTCCACTAGTGGGAGGGAATATTTTCTCGCTTCTGTTCGGTCGTAATCTCGATTCACACACCTCAGACGATGACACCGGGACACATTCTTCTTTACCCTTGGTAAGGCGTGGTGGTCTTCCAAGCGAACACCAATGTTTTGATGGACGCGACTGCTATGTCTCGAGTTTGTACGTAACGGTGACAGCGTGCTTGATTGCACTTGGGCTGAGCGTGTGGGCGGGAATGAGGGACCAGAGAAAGACAGCGGAGGCAAAGAGGGAAGTTGTTTGGGATGCTGAAGACTAAGTAGACAGCAAGTTTTAGGCAGATATTCATTGCAAGATATAATCATCACAGGCTCGCTAGAAACACCAAATTGCGGGAAACGCCACAAAAGACGTGCAACAGGCGCTGAGTAGGTGAGGCTGCATGCACATTCCGTGCCCGTTCCATGTTCATAAGTCCAGAGGCATATTTAATTGCAATATAGATAGCATATTTAGTTACGCTGTGAATATATACGTACAGTGTGAGGTATAACATAATGAAAATATATGCAGTTTGATGCTACAGATATTGTACAGATTCTATGCAGTCCTAGTATTACAGATGTGAGCGCAGGTGGCAATAATAACATCAATCAAAACCATAGCCCATCCAATGGACGTGTCATCAACAGGAGAATAGATAGAAACACGAAAACAGCAATAAATGCTATGCGAAGGTTAGAAGCGAGCAGATCTGGGGCCCGAGCAGCTGGTACCGGCAAAGGGAGAAACGAATGGGGTGTGAGCGGTGATGAGATAGATTTAATAGTCTGCTGTGGTTGAATTGCCCGCATTTCGACATCAGGGGCAAGCAGCTTCGTGCAACATTCTCTGCGCGGACTTCCTGGCAGTAGTTGAGGGGGCATCGTAACAGAGTTCGTGTATAGAGTTCCCGATTGCAAGCGAGGATGCGTGGGCTGACAGGCTGGCGGTGGTGCGTTAGCTTCATCTGCGGCAAACTCTTTCTCATCTCCGAATTGTTCTGCCTGACCACGCTGTAACAGTGATTCACCGTTCATGCTTCTCATTGATAGCGGAACAGAACGTGTTGGTATGTCAGCAGTGCGTCCCACCGCTTCTGGGAATTTATGAGGCTGTGGAGCTGCGGAGTTCATCGACATTCGTGAAAGCGGTGAAGGAGGCGATGGAAGCACCTCCAAAGAGCGGTGACTCGAAGTATTAGTAGGAGTGGAGCTCCTGATTGCGTCAATGACAGGTTCGATATCGGAATTGTCGTCCGAACAGACACGCTGCGCACGATTCAGTAGGTCTTGTCCTTCCATTACATCTGCAGGATTTTTCCTTAGCTGAAAACGGTATAGCAATGCAAGTCCAAGCTTGAGCAGTGCCAAAGGACGGTCTGGGTGCCCCGATCGGCGAAGCTCCAGCGCTTCCTGATACAGCGAGATAGGGGCATTGATGGCGCCATCGCTTTCTTCAATATGCGGGTGGATCACGAGAGCGTCCGCTAAATTAGTCAATGCTGCTGCACGGTCAGGGTGATCACTGCCACAATAATCAAGCGCAAGGCGCAGCTGTTCCGTGGCTGCGTGATAGTCTGAGATGCGACGAGTGCGGCGATAGCATTCGAGGAGATTCTGACCGGTTTCTGTCATTTGACCAAGAAGTCGTGACTCATTAGGTCTGGGCTAGCTGTGATGTCAATCTGATAGCAGAAATGCTTGTGAAGTCGACAACACTTACAGAGTAGCGTTGGCCAAACTGAGCTGCATCGGGTTCGCCTTCAAGGCCTCGGTCGACCTTTACCAGGAGAGACGATGATTCACCCCCATCAGGGAAGAAAAATATGGCTGAAGGTTATGTCGTTTGGGTGAAAGGCATTGAAAAACAAACTAGCTGCCAGCTTACGTAGGGATTGGTCGCTGTGATGTAAAAGTTCTCCCACTGTGAGCTCAGCTTTGCGCATCAACTGACCGCGCCCAAGCATACGTTCAGATTCGAAGGCTGCAAAGATTCTCAAAGATACTGTTGTTGAACTATCTGCGGGACTGAGATACAGTTTCAGTATTCTCACGGAACGCCCTCTAACTGAGCACTTACAGTACAAAAATCTGATCCCACTGCACGATATTGCTTGACGGTACTTCCGCTTTGACTGCTGTTCTCCAAACAGTTCCGTCGATCTCGACGGCGACATAATAACCGGCTGGAATGCGACGAAGGCCAGCCGCAGGAGCTGTTACATGGATCGCTACACCCCAGAATGAATCGATCTAGTCTCGATAATGTGAACCAAAAGCCTTACAAGAAATTGACAATCGCTTGTCCTGAGGCGTTTGGCGCCACGATTCTAGCTGAGAATGATGGGACATATACGAAAGAGGGGAAGCTGCAGGGTAGGAAGGAGCCGTGAACTATAAATCTGGGCCGGTGACATAGCGGTGTTCCTGCGCTGCAACCTGTGCTGGCGTTCTTGATGAGCGTCTGTGAGATTGATTATTAAGTTGTGCCCCGTGTAGAAAATGGATTCGGGAATGGAACGTGGTTGCATAGCATTCTGGAGGTACGACCTGATCCGTAAAATACCGGTCCCGGTTGGAGGCCGGCAACCAAGTTCACCGACTCACAGTACCGCTAGAAGTCGTTATAGCTGGAGTGTGAAAAACCTCATGCTGCGATCATGTTCCAATATGGTTCAGGAAGTGATAGTAATAGGCATGTCAGGAGACAGGCAGCTGGAATCCCGAGCATTTCAAATGAAGGCCTGGACTGATCGATTGCGTTCCATTTCACAGACTCCCACTGATGCGATAATGTCGTGTGGAGGCGAGGTGAAGCCATATAATTGAGCGGACAGGCTTGTGACGTCATACGGGTGACTTGGAAAAAAATACTCGGACCACATACCGTAGCCTGTAGGTCCACTTGCGCTCTGCTGAGCTCTATGAACCACAATGTATGTGGATCAGGCTATCCTCATCGAGTACTTGACCAACAGTTTCGCTGAGTTGTGAATAATTTGATAGTTCGACAGGCTGAAATCCCTGTATCGCTGGGTGCAATTCCCAAAAGACTAACCGGCTGACCGGGGCTGACTTTGTCAGTTGCCATAAGCCAGCGGTCTCGAGCCACTAACGTTCCACCGAAAAAAGACAATTTGATAGCTCCTCATGCAAGCTGTATGATTTCAAAGACCACTCGGACCCCACTTCATGATCTTGTGCTTGCCGAATTTCCCTGCGTAAGTAGTTGCATTCGCTGAATTGAGGATGAAATGCAGGAAAGAAAGTGTCACAAAGGGTTGACCAACTTTTGAGTTCGAACAAGCTCCTCGGCAACTGGTGTTCTGGTATCAGTCACATGAAGCGGAGATCGGAGTTTGTTTCCACGTGGTCCCTGGGACTGAGGTTTCGTCCACTGTTTGTCCACGTCTCTCGTTCAACGGACTTGTCTATTGCTGTCCATTGGTTCGTGAGTGCTTTTCTCTTGATCTCATACAGAGGCTCCATTTCGCTTGACATTTGTCTGCTATGATCCAGAGCAACCAGCGCGTCTGTTACCGCGCGTTCAAGGGCAGCTATGTCCATACAAATGGATAGGGTACACACTTTGGCCTCCCGACCCCCTCCAATTGTTCCTGCACCTACCTACTTACAGATGTCCGCAAATGTGGTTCCTCGTGGTGTGGAGAAGCTTCCCTCGCCAGAGCAAACCTCCAATGATGAGAAGCAAAGCCAGATGGAGCTGTCACTGAAACGTTCTATAACGCTTGTTATATGGTACAAGGTTGGTGGTATATTCTTAAATGATTGCGCTGGGTGACTTGACTAATTGACAGCCGGCGTGCGATCCCATTCGCCTGAACCACGAGATATCCACCTTTCCGTTGTTTCAGCTGTCGCATTTTCCATCCGTGGTTTCCGACCTGGAACTCACGCCCGCTTCATACGTCGATACGTATAATCATGCAACAGGGAATTGGGAGCAACATATGATTACCACTGTCCGTGCGATCGAGACAGACCAACGTCTGCTATATAAACTCCGTAAAAGTCTTTTAAGTGGGCTTTTGGACGAGGAATGCCGAGGACTCGCAGAGGAGTTGGCGCTACAGTCGAAGAAGAAACCACCCGTATCTCCTACGATTGTCACCCAAAATGGCACCAAGAGGCCTGCAACTGAGCATACAGAAGGCCCTCCCACAAAAAGACCATACCCACCGGAAGGGTACCCGCACCCGATGTACATACCGCCCATGGGATATATGTACCCACAGGTCCCGCTTGGACATCCAATGAGTGCACCGCTAGTCGCTAGCCCATCGCACGCAAATAGTCCTGAGGGCGAGGCTTCCTCGCCCACGCCACACCCATATTCAGGTCCTCCTCCAACCCCAATGAGCGGCCAGCCACCGAACAGCCCAGGGCAGTATCCAGTGGTGTCGCCTTCGTCAGCCACTCGAACAGGGTCAGGGCCATTCCCTCAGCACCCACACCCTCCACTCAAAAGATGGCCTAACGATTATACTGTGTCTGAAATTGCTGCCGGCTTCCGGCAGATGGATGCTCTTATTGCTCAGACGCCTAATGCGACTCAGCGCATATCATTCGAACGCGTTTTTGGATGCCGGTATGTTAAGTCGACCGTGTGCCGACACCGTGGCGTATATCGCAAAGCTGATACAGCGGTCCGGAGTATGTTTGAGAATATGGGGACGGACGAACGTGCCGTATGGGGTGAGTTTGTGAGGCGCGTGGAGGGTCGACCATCAGGAAAGCAGGGGCAAGGAGAAGAACATGCTCTTCATGGTGACCTTATCGAAGGAAGCTCGCAGCCCGGTCAAGTTCAGCAGGAACAATGTGGAGAGGCGAATACAGTCCCACTTATGGATTCACTGGTACCATCTCCGCATATGACTGTCTCCTCGCCACCCCCTAGTATGCCACATATCAATGGTGTGTGTTTTATATGATCTATTTCCACGTGCTTATTTGATCTATAGGGCATGTTCCTGTTTATGATCCAAGTCTAGCAGATAAAGATGCTGGCTTGTCTGGAACATGAGGTTCAAGTTTTTCACAGCGTTTTGAGCCCTCTTTTCGCCATCCACGCCGTGACTCCGTGCGGTATTTGTAGGACTTCTTCCTTTAATTCACAATCTAGGGCTCAGGGTATGATATATTTACTGATAGCGTGACTTGCGATAGTCCCATGATTGATCTGCGCTCAAAGCTATAAGGCAACTGAGGATGCCTCGAGCTTCATCAGAAGCCTCGAGTCCATCCCACTCCTGTCAGTATTATGTTAAGGATTCAAAATGACTCATTACTCAAATGGATCTAGCAAGAAAATTCTACATAGACGACTGAATAAACCGCTTCGACTGCTAGTATGGTACAATTTAGACTACGTAAGTGCAACCGAGGTCAACCCGATTGATATTGGTCACGTGTCTGTGCACCAAGTGCAATGTGTTGTCGAAACGTAACTTTCGTCATCATTTTGGGCTTCTCGGTATATAACATGATTTATAACGATCGCTCCGGCTCCAGTCTCTAAACCCTACCGGTCTCCCTCTCTCGCTTTAACGACTACCACGTTGCACAGCCTGATACCAGCTTTCCTTGACTTTTCAGTTACTCGTTGTGTGAAGATAAAATCGATGACCGACGACTCAATTCCTAATAAGAGGATCTTCAAAGATCCAGTACATGACTATGGTGAGTATTACAATTCAGTCAATGTATCTTGGCAATCTCATTGTGACCGCGACTCCGTATGTCCAACAGTGGAGTATGATCCATGGATTTGCAGCTTCATAGATACGTAAGTTGCCATTGGTTTCTTACTAATGAAAAAAAAACTCAATGTATGCTTCTCCTAGACCGCACTTTCAACGGTTGAGATATGTAAAACAACTAGGGATCTCGTACTATGTGTACCCAGGAGCGTCTCACAATAGATTCGAACATTGTCTCGGTACGAGTGATGATATATCTTAGATTGTTCGGCTGATGGGCTCAAACAGGCGTTGGCCACCTGGCCAGGATGATGGCTCAGCATCTTCAGAAGAGCCAACCGTCGCTGGGTATCACAGATGAGCATATACGATGCGTTGAGCTTGCTGGACTGTGCCACGACCTTGGTCACGGGCCTTGGTCCCATGTTTGGGATGGCCATTTTATCCCCAAAGCTCTGTAGGTTGTCATTGTGCCTGCATTTCCGAAAGACCTGACGACCGAATCTTAGTCCTGATCACCCCAAATGGAGTCATGAGCAAGCGTCAGAGATGATGTTTGACGACATGGTGAAGAAGTATCGTAGCCTTGACATCTCGCCTGAGGATGTAGAGACCGTGAAGGCACTCATTTCTGGCAGGAAGGAACGATGCAAGTGCGTGTTGCTGTTGACTTGACTCAACAGTTTCTGATGGACAGTTTGTTACTTCAGGCTTGGAACGACTATGCCTTTTTTATTCGAGATTGTTGCCAACGATCTCAATGGCATTGACGTGGACAAGTGCGTCTCTACTCTTCCACATGAGTAACATCTAATTTTAAGTTCAAGGTTCGATTACATTGCGCGTGATTGCCACGCTGTCGGCGAGAAACGCAATATTGCCATGACAAGGTAGTTTTCAGATCAATTCATTCGCGCTGAGTGCTTTTGACACTCATTTAGATTGATTCATTCCGCCCGCGTCATTGACGGTCAAATATGCTATGATATCAAGGATGCCAACTCAGTCTACGAACTATTTTACACTCGTTTCTCGTTGCACAAAAACATCTATAATCACAAAACTAGTACGTATCACGTTGCATACATCCTTTTTGATGCTGACGTTAGTATAGCTCGCGCCATTGAATACATGATCATGGACGTGCTTCTCATTGCGCAGAAGCACATGAAGTTCGCAGAGTACATCGACGTGCCTGAAAAGTATCTTCATCTCACGGATGATCTCTTCCACCGCATTAACATGACCGAATCGGAAGTGAGTCTATGTAATTGCTCCTTTCGTTTGTCTCATCGCGTAATTGCATCAGGAACTCGAACCAGCGCGCAAGATCATCCACCGCATCCAGACCCGTGACCTCTATCGTCGGGTGGACTACAAGATCATGGACTGGGATGACAAAGAATTTTGTCAGGCACATATCACGCCTGAGGCAATCGTTCATGCTGCTAAAAATGCCAACCTTGAAGGCGTCGAACAGAGCCTCGTCGCTGAGCTCACTGTTGACCACGTCATTGTGGATGTGAGCAAGATGCACTACGGCCGAGGAGTGGACAATCCCATCTATCAGGTTAAGTTCTACAGCAAGCATGAACCAAATGGTGACCATCGAGTATTACAATCTGACAGTTGTACTGATCCGTCCCCCAGTGTGCCGGCGGGCCGAGTCTGGAGACGTCTCCCTTTTGATGCCCGAGAAGTTCGGCGAGCTCCTCCTGAGGATTTACACCAAGGAAGAGCGATTCATGGGCCTCGTGCAAACCGCGTACCGGCATGTGCTCAGGACCCTTCCTATGCCTGGGGAGGCAGCGGGAATAGTCACTATAGTACCAACACCTCCCGCTACTGAAGCGCCTTCTACCCCAAGGGCACTTTCGTCTACCCTGAGTTTTGGTGTACCTCAGAGCCGTGCTTCAAGACCTTTCGGACGCACACCCAGCTATTCGGACAACCAATTCACCACTTTACCGCCTGATTGTCAGAGCCGCTCTCCGACGAGGATATCATCACGAAACTTGAAGAGGGCTAGGGAGACCAGTATCGAGTTGGACATTGACAATCCTCCTCCGACTAGGAAGAGTATGCGTTTGGCATCAGTATCAGGGCCAGCAAAGTGATCTTACTTCCATAGTGCTGATGGGTTCAGCTTTTTTACAGTTTCCTGCCTGCAAGTGTTAGATTCGCGCCTTTGTTGCATTCCCGTTCCGCATTCAGCCTGTATTCATTCATGATTTGTTGGAAAGAAGAATTCACTTACTATACAAATTTTATAACACGCTTCGCACTCTATACCAGTACCATAACATATACACTTACTTGACACACCCGGCCGGACGGGTCAAGCGGTTACAAGTTCCTGGAGCTGGTGAGGAAAAGAACTGTTCGCTAACCGATGCTGTTCGGTCGTACCTGCTGGTGTGAGATGAATGCAATCCGAGAAGTACAACTCATGTGCATGATCACATGCTTGACAATGTGCGTGCACGGACTAGCAGACATTGTGTTCCGAACTGTGCAACACGTGTAAGATATATGTATATGATGACGTGAAGCAGTGTTAAAATTGAAAAAGAGGCCGTCCATCATGATCGTCTGTCTTATCCCATTCAAGATTTAAAAGGCCTTGAGTTGTAGTTGAGGAAGCCAGGCTAGCCTGAGATTATGAGCAAAACTGTTGAGCCCTCAGGCCCACTTTGAGATAGCCCTATGACAGCAACACGGGCGGTGAACATCAAGGCAAAGAAGATTGTTTGGTACAGTCGTTATTGGATCCAGAATCAGATGCAAGGAGTTGTTAGCGAGATCACAAAGATATGATCGCCGAGTCCACGAAGGTTCTGCTTTGTGGCTGTGGGTTTCTTGATGTTGATTGGTCCAGACTCCGACTCGGAGTAGAAAATTAGGTAAATGCTGCTGATGAAACATGCAATGTCGTTACCCGATTGGACCAATCAGCCAAGTGAATTCTTGTAGAATTATTTACTTTGCTCTTCTTCAGCATCGCGGCCTTCTCGTTGCAGCTGCTTTGACACCAACAACATGCTTGTGCTGTACAAATCCGATGCTGATTGTGAAAATGAGGCTACGCGTGGATTCTGCGAGTCGTTTCTATCCTGTTCAAGTTGACGGCATTGGCACTGCACAGCGTGGATGTCAATGTGCACACCGTGGTTGCCCGGTCCTTTATAATCCCTTAGGACTTTACAGGTGCTGCAGTATTTGTTTCGTAACCTCCAGCACATACCTTACTCTCAAGTGTTAGTTTGAATCATCCTTCAGCTATCATTTTCATGATGGACCATCGTCGATGTGTCACCTTCGAGTCCTCAGGCTCATCAGAATCAGACTCTGACTTTTCTTCAGCGTCATCAGGTAAACCTTCCACAACTCCTCTAGTAGAGAATTCCGCTACCAGTACTGAGCCCTTGCAAGGGAGAAAACGTAAGCGTAAGTCGTCAGGCAGCCATGGCGAAAACAAGACGAAGAGTTCAAAACGTGCACGATCGTACGTCGGTGTGTCATATCACACGTGCATGGACTTAATCGTATTTCCAGGCAAGAACAGGACGAGTAAGTATGTGAAGCACCGATCATCCACATGCCTGACAATGTGCTTGTTGTTTAGTGAGGAGCCAAGTCATCAGGAACCCACCCAGGACCCGGGAGAGATGCAACTCGGTGGAGTGCAACAAGTCATCATCACTGGTATGTGATATCTATCTCCGCTCGGCTCATATTGATGATTTCCCCTAAGCCATTCACGCAACTGATCTCACTCTTGGTCTCCGACGGATCCCCGCTGGCTTCCATGTCGTGGTCAAGGCTGACGGCGCTGAATGCCAGACAAGCAATAAATCTGTAAATGTAGACCAGGCTGCCGTGGAATGGGACGAGCGCATTTTGCTGTAAGTCGTCCTTAACCTGCTGTGTCCTGCAGGCATTGAGAAAGAGTCTAGGCCATGCGATCCTTCTTGTAAAGTTCGGGTCAGCGTGTATGCCTCATTCGAATTGGGTCCCATGGTCTGTCACGGAGAACTCCTCCGTACATTCGAAATCTCCGTCGGAGAATTACTGGAGCGCAGCGAAAAATCGCATCGTCGGTATCGTCTATTGCAAATAACGCCTGACAGATTCTGACGAGCATGACAGCCATCATATTTCAGCCAAAGCAGGATGAAGTCGTATCAGCTTGCACTTCACTGTTCATGAGAGTGGAGCAGCAACTTTGTGATCGAAACGAGGCCGCAGTTCTGCGTCTCCTTATTCCAGTGAGTGATAAATATAGTCTAGCACTTTGATACTGAGGACTGCAAATTGTAGGTTACATGCCGGGATATGGAAGCGTTAGCACTGATGACAGACGCCGGACACCGTCTTCTCGCACGGTACCGCAGGACGCAGAACAGCGGGGATCTCGAACAATCTATAAAGCACTTTGGACGAGCCTCGGATCTCTGTCCCATGGATCATCCCTACCACCCTGCAGCGCTGTTCAATCTAGCCACGGCAAAGTTTGTTAGTTGCCAAGCGGACGGAAGATACATCGACCTCGACATCCCTATCTCTCTTTTTCAAGAAGCCCTCGACTCGCGCGCCACTGATCATCCGGACCGAAGCGTCACGCAGCTCCATCTTGCCATCGCTTTGCTCTCGCGGTTCGCGAAATGGGGATCTGAAACGGATGCTGACGCAGCTACAGGATTGCTGAGCGAAATTCTCGAAGTCTGCCACGCCAACAACCACATTTACAGAGCCGCTTTGATCGCAATGGAAATGCGGGCTCTGCATTCTGCTGGAAGGCTTGATGCCAATGATATTGGGCAGGAGTGGGCCGCCACATCGATGCTTCCGTTATCACCGAATGAACTTGCTCGTCGAGCAAAGTGGTGCGAGCAGAGAGATGAACCCGGTGCCTTAGATGAAGTGATATCGCTTCATTATGATGCACTGAGATACTACAACACCGGGCATGCTAGCCGAGGGCAATTGCTATGCAATCTGTCTGCATCGCTGCTAACTCGCTTCAAGCGTCGAGGCAATGACAAAGACTTAGATCAGGCCATCGCACATGAGATGGAGGCGCTGGCTTTGCACCCGGTCGGTCACACAGATCGGTCTGCGTCATTAAACAACCTCGCTGCTCAACTCTCCTCCCGCTTTAAGCACCGAGGCAACGACGAAGACTTGGATCAGGCTATCGCACTTCAGAGAGAAGCGCTGGCTTTGCGCCCGGTCGGTCACACAGATCGGTCCATGTCATTACACAACCTCGCTGCTCAACTCTTCTCCCGCTTTAAACACCAACGCAATAGAGAGGACCTCGATGAGTCCCGAGAGAATCTACTCTGTGCATTGACTCTGTTGAGCCAGCATGATCCTCGTCAATTGGTAGTCCATCAGTTGCTAGCTGAGGTCTATCTATTATTCCATCATTCAGGACCTGACGGCACCGTCGCGGGCGACAATACAGACCGTCTGGATGCTGCCATGCGACATATCAAGGCAGCAACAAATATTGTCTCTGCAGGCTTGCGGTCCCGCCTGCGGGCGAGTCTACGTTGGGTGGGCCATGCTAGTGAACATTTGCATAGCACTCAACTGGAGGCTTATGCGACCTCTATGCAACTCCTGGACGCTTACGTGTCTGTGACAGCCTCTGTGTCGTCTCGTCATAATGCCATGAAGGAATTCCCAAGTACACTTGCCGTGGATGCTGCATCTTGCGCCCTTCGCAGTGGCGATGTGCGTCGCGCTGTTGAGCTGTTGGAGCAAGGCAGGACTATCATCTGGACCCAGATGGCGCGACTCCGCACGCCTCTTGATAGCCTCCAGAGTTGCGGCGATCATGCAGTGACCTTGGTGAAGAAATTCAGAGACCTCAGCTCCCTCCTTGATAGGCCTCCTGCGAGTCATTCAGAAGGCACCTCAAGAGTTGTTGTAGAAGCAGAAGAAACTCGATACAGATGTCTAGTGGAGGACTGGAATGGAACAGTAGAGGACATCCGGAAGATTGAAGGCTTCTCTCGCTTCCTACTTCCCCCCTTGTTCTCCGATCGTCAACATGCAGGTCGTGATGGACCCATCATCGTGCTCATCGCAAGCAGATCGTCTTGCGATGCTATCATTATCCCGCACGAACAAGATCCTACTAGCATTCAACTCCCTACCAATTTGGGAAAACTCGTCGAATTGGTACTCGCGTTCCGAGAGGCAGTTGACAAAGATGCCGGACCCAATGGGAAGCAACGAGCGCTGATGGAAGCTTTGAGAGAGTTGTGGAAAATCGTTGTCCAGCCAGTGGTCAACAATCTGGGCGGAATTGCACGACAAAGTTCTCGAATATGGTGGTGTCCGACGTCTTTCTTCAATTTCTTGCCATTACATGCTGCTGGCGAATACAGGAAAGATGGAGGATCCCTTTCACGCCACTACATCTCATCATACACCCCATCGCTCACCGCGCTGATTAAGGCTCGCGTGAGTCATGACAGGTCCCCGTCTGTGCCCTTTGTTGCCATTGGTCAAAATCACCCTGCCGGTGCCGTATTCACTTTGGATGCTGTGGAGCCTGAACTGGAATTGGTCCGGACACTCTTACCCCCTCCCCCAACCGTTTCCTTCTCCAAGATAACCAGCGTTGATGCCACAAAATCGACAGCACTGCGCGCATTGCAAGACAATACGTGGTTCCATCTCGCGTGTCACGGGACGCAGAGATTTGACGAACCCTTCCAGTCGGCCTTTCTTATGCGTGACCAGCCGCTTTCGCTCCTCGATATCGCTCAGATGGATCTGTCTCGGCACCAATTTGCATTCCTTTCTGCCTGTGAAACCGCAGTCGGTGACCTCAGAACGCCCGACGAAGTGATACACTTAGCGGCTGGCTTGCAATTTGCCGGGGTCAAGAGCGTCGTTGGGACATTATGGAAGGTCGATGATGCCACTGTGGAGCGTGTAGTCAAGGCGTTTTACACAAAGTTGTGCGGGGATGGCACGATGAATTCCAAACGAGCTGCGCGAGCGCTGCACCAAGCGGTGCAGTCGTTGGCCAGTGACAAGGACATTCCCTTGGCCCAGCGAATAGTGTTCGTGCACATTGGCATATGATCAATTCTGTGCGTCCTGCCCTCTTGTTAATGAAACCATTCTAACGACTTCGCATCTAGTCCATGACCACGCGGAACTTGTTACCAAGGACTTATATTATTCCAGACTTCGAGATTGTATACTTCCACGATATGGACACCCAATTTAGACTTGAATCTGTATTAATTTCCAATTTGTTGCCTTGGAGCCAGAGGTGCCGGTGATCGCTCCTTTAAGGTCCACTGATGTCGATGATTTGTGGGTCAGAATGAAGCTGATCTGGCGTAACACCTCATGTGGCAAGACACGATTTGCGATGAACGTGATAATCGCGTGAGGACGTTGGGTGCACTTCCACTTAGCATGTCGCACTGAAATCCAGTTCCTGTGAAGAGCTTGACCCTGGTAGGCTAAGAAGTCGTTCGTTCTGCTTTAAACTAAAAGCATTATAACGCTTCGTGCAACGCAGGATCGAAAAGAGTCAAGGCGTAGATTATGCAACGAATATATAGTGTATATATGCGCAAGAGCCTGATGATATGATTCCAGTTGTGCGACTTCTATGTTCGTATCCTCGGTTCTTCAAGTACTAGAAGCTTAGGTTGAGAGACTGAACTAGAGACAATGCCATGGTTCGGATGGCCACATTAATTTCATCGGGTGCGTGCAGTGCCGTCCGGCTCAGACCGTAAGCAAACATTGTATTCCGAATCGTGCATGTATCATGACATTGAAAGCTTTAGAAGCAGTGTTCAAATTGAAAAAGGGGCAGTTCATAATGCATAATGGTCGCCTGTCTCATCCCGGAGAACATTTTAAAGACCTCGAGTTGCAGTGAAGGAAGCCGAACTTGGTGAGCTAGATTATGGCCCCCGTGATGGCAACACGCGGGGCGAACATCGAGGCAGAGGAGATTATTTGGCAGAGTCGCTATTGGATCAGATGCAGGGAGTCTTCATGAATGACCCGTGACATGTTCGCCACGCTAGCATGATTTGAATCGAGTGAATTACCATACCTGTTACGAATCAATCAGTAGTACTGCCCCATGGAATCCATGCTTGCTATGCACATAAGACCCATCCTCGTTGTTTGCTTGCTACCAGCGAGGAACAAGTAGAACAAGCAGTGAGTACTGGTCAACTGTTCCCGTCCTTTTTGATCATGAACAGAGTGAGTCAGACAAAACGCAAAGAAGCCTCACATTAACGAGCTATGTCTCCCGAATTCCTTGCGACGCCTATCATTGAGGAAGCTATGACTTCTGATTCTGAAGTCCCTGCAATGCCAGCTACTGAAGAAGCTCAGGACACAACTCAAATCGAAAAGTCAGCTCCGAAGCAAGAATTTGTAGGCCACGAGGACTATGTTTGGGCTTTTGTCTTCTTGCACGACAATATCCACATCGTGAGTGGCTCGTGGCCCGTGGGACTGCACGATGCGCAAGTGGGACTGCGACACGGGACTTCTTGTCGGACAACCATGGACAGGCAAGGGAGGCTGCATCCATGCATTAGCACTTTCACCGGACGGAAAGACAGTTGCGTGTGGGAGGATGAACAGAAACGTTCAGCGGTGGGACATCGACAGTGGAAAGATGATTGAAGACGTTTGGACAGGTCATAGCCGTGAAGTAAGGCCACTGTCGTGGTCACCCAACGGAGACCATATTGCAAGTGGGTCCAGGGATGGGACAATCCTGATCCGAAAACTAGACAACGGACAAACCGAGATGGGCCCGATCAAGACGGGGCAGCGTTTGGTGAACGTTCTTGTGTATTCACCTTCAGGCGACAAAATCGCATCAGGCGGGTTGAATGAGACGATCTGCATTTGGGATACAAAAACAGGCGAGCTCGTTCTCGGCCCCATCGAAGAACTGGGGGCCAGTGTTACGTCGTTGTTGTGGTCGTCGGAAAGCAAAAAAGTTTACGCCGCTTCAGACAAATTTGTGCGTATTTTTCGACAGTAATTCAGGTATCGAACTTTCATCGCTTCGAGCACGACGTTTTGGTGAAGTCTATCGCGCTTTCACCCAAACACAATGTACTGGCTTGCGTGGGCCAGCCAGGTGTTGCACAACTATGGGACACAGAGTCCTATGAACCATTACTCCGCCAGCCATTCATTGACCGCTAAACTCTTCGCTGCATATCATTCTCTCGAGATGGGAGATACCTAGCAAGTAGCGGACTTGACAAGAAACTCACCCTGTGGGTGGTAAAAGACATGGTCCCTGAGCTTACAGACGTGTTTGTACGCCCATACTGCAAGTTGGGGCGTAGCTATTTTGACGCGGTCCTGCCGCGCCTGCCGCGGTCGTGACGCGGCCGTGACGCGGCGTGACGCGCATGTGACGCGGCACTGACGCGGCACTGACGAGCCTTGACGCGGCACTAACGAGCCTCGACGCGGCCACTGACGCGCCATTCCTATATTCTATATTCAACTTCCAGATCAAGTTGAATGAGTTCACGACCATTCTTTTGTTATTTCATTTGACTCAGAGCCATGTACAACTAGGTATACATAAGCCAATGACTATTTTCTTTTCCTCCCTCTCTGGACCCTTCGAGCCTGTGGAGCACATCGACGTTTAACGGGCGGACATTCTTCGGCCGGCAGAGAAGGAACTACAGCTTCGGATAGCTCGTCTGCAGACTCCACAGATGTAGCATCAGAGTTATCACTGAATAAGGGGCCGCGCTGTTAATCACATAAGTTAGATATCTATCGAACGGAGCAGGTAATGTCTTCCTCACTTCAAGTTCACTTTCGCTATAATCTCTTGCAGAAACCCATTCATCAGGAATTCCGAGATACACATTCCATCGCCTGTGATGTTGGCCAGCATCCAAACCCCACTGCTGGTTGCCTGCAGGTCCTGCTTCTTCGGAATCCTCGAACATTCTTGCTTCTAGTGCGGTCAGACACTCGAGGTCGACGTCAGCCACGAAGCTATTGGTAGGATAGCTTATCATGAGATCAGCCCAAGCCATCTTCAACAGCATGCTAATGTCGTCCAGTTCTTTTGATACTTCCGCTGACATAAAGCTTTGAATCAAGTCTTAACTCATCTCGACCGCCCGATTTGGGATGTTGATTTGTTCGGGCTGCAGGAGGACTAACGCTTCGGGTACGCCGGCGTGGTATAGACTTTGTGTCCGTGCAGAGTTCAAACAACTCCTGTGAGTGGTGTTTCATATGTTGAGGGAGGGGTGGTGGATTTGGGACGGAGTGTGCAGGGTCATGTGATGGCTGAGCGGTTTGCACAGAGGCCGGAAGATAAGCTATTATATTGCCTGTTCTATTTGTCAAATCTAAGTTCACAAGGAGAATATGTCGGATGACGCACCTGAACGGTCATAGCAGGGTATAAGGTCCCCAAAACTCAGCAGCGGACCCGGCCGATCTGGATAATTTTGATTCTCTGTCTCGTTGGGATATAAAAAGTTGAATATATGCTTGATTAATTCCTAAAAGATGGTTATAACAAGTTTACTCCGTATTTAAAAGCACTCACAAAGGCCATGATACGATTTACAAAAGCGCGATAATAAGGGTTTCTTCTCGAGCCCAGAGGAGACAAACGAAAGAATGCTTAGTAAAATAAATTTATTACTGCCTATGGACAATTACAGTGTACGACGTCTAATTCTGTCAGGATGAAAAGGAACACTGTTAGAATATCAAATATTATGACAGATCTAAAAAAAAATACCTAAGTTATATGGACAGCGTGACAGTTGAGGTGGCGAGGTCTGACGCGGCATGTGCTACTTGTGACGCGGCATGAATGAAGTTTGACGCGGCAGTGACGAGGTTTGACGCGGCGTGACGCGCATGTGACGCGGCACTGACGCGGCATGGAGGAGGTTTGACCACCTGGGCTTCCCATTAAGTAAGCCTTACTATAGTGGTTTGTTACGTGCTGTGCTTACTATTGTTAGGCTTAGTTGCAGCAATCCTCAACACCAGCATTAAATGCTGTCCCAAATAACCCAGGACCTTTGGGTATTTGGCGTAGGTAAGTAGCTCGGCACTGTCGGCACTGTCTGCCGCCTATTTACGCCTAATGCGTCATCCCGACGCGCCCCGCCATGCGCTAAGCTTCCAAACTAGGTGAGACTCTTTTCTCACGCCCCTTGCCCTTCTCCATCACCGCCAACGTCGTCTACCACCCGTTCTAGCCATCGACGCGGGCTTCCTGCGCCCCCAACAGCGTCGTTCACCACCATCTTACGTGGATCTGTCCGTTGGACCAAGTACAACGGCTCTGGACACCGCCTAGGTGAGTCTTTTCTCGCGCGCCCTTTGCCCTTATCCACCACCACCAACGTCGCCTACCACCCGTTCTAGCCATCGACACAGGCTTCCTGCGCCCCCAACAGCGTCTTTCACCACCTCCTACGTGGATCTGCCTGTTGGACCAAGCGCAACGGCTCTGGACGCCACCCTCATCTCTCAACACGCTTTCTACACTACCCTCACCTTGTCAATCACGCTATCTACACTCTCTAACCACCCATGTCGCGACCATCAGCGAGGAGGATCACAGGGCTGTCGAAGGCAACCATAAAACATGGTTTTCGACGCTCTGTGCGAACGATTGATGTACTGAAGGCAGGACAACAAACCCGACGAATGGAACATGTGAACGCCAAGCGGCAATCATGTATACAAGGTATGGTGTCCATTTTTCTTAGATGTTTGTCTTCTCATTTCCGCAGAGATGTCAGCTGAAGATCGTGCGGCTGTCGAGACTATGCTCATCGATTATGACACGGATATTGAGTCTATACCATACACTGCTCCCCCGGGCGAGGAGGGAGCCGAGTTTAGCCACGAGGGCGGAGAGTACGAGGTGTTCCAGGGGCTAGCTCAGCAGATGGCAGACCTCTCTGGATTGTAAGTTATTTGATTTCATGCCCACTAGCATGCGCTTACGCGTGCTAGCCACTACGTTGATCCACGTACACGTGGGGACCGCATTAATGTTCAGAATGCAAACTGGGATCTTCAGATGGAAGGCCTGGTCAGGGCTTATCTGGACTATCGCATGCGAGATAATGGCGACGGCATGCCAAGTGTTTTGAGCGATGATGACACTCTACGTGATGATGCTGACACTCTGATCCTGCAGAATATCGAGCTGGTCGACATTTTTAGTAAGCAATATTTTTCTTTCCGGTCAGAAGACTTTGCTCAACAGTATTCTAGGCCGAAAATTCGCATCGCTGCAACCCCTTGCCTCCCACAGGTTTCCGAATGAAAGCCTTATATATCATGGTTACCTTGGCTGTTCTCCGCTGCACCCGACTGTCGCCATTTCTCTCCGCACGCTTGCGGCTTATCGACAGTCTCACAGGACTTGCCCCCGGTTTAGTGTTCAAGCGCAGTGCAAGGCCCTGTGCCACCTCCACGATGTACGATATTCAATTGTATTGTGATATATCAATTACAATGTTGCTTCATAGATCCCTTACCAACCATATCTAAATACGCAATTCTCGGACGCATATGATGTTTACCTTGAGATCTTGCATCGGGTAGACTCCCTCATCAAAGCAGCACTGAAGCGCGATACACAAGATTGGCGCCTTCTCAACTCGTGTCCCTGTTGCTGTTACAAACTAGATGACGAAGACAACATGACTTTTGAGTGGCTTGCCACCATCGACGGTAACAATAGCTTGAAAAGATGGTCGTCTTCTATTTACGGCACATCTCCAAGGGATGATTCGCGGACTCGACGTTCTGACTACTGGCTCCATCGCGCGAACGTTGACCAATTCCAACTTAATGGCGCTCAACCTCATGAAGTAAGTTTTCAATTGATATGAAATATACAAACCTAATTTCTGATCAGCAAGATCCCACTGATGACTGGGAGGATGTGGTACAGTCCGACTCGGCACCATTCAACTGCGTTGACCGCTGGCGAAATGCTGGTCCGGAAGCACGTAAACGCATGTTTTCAGTTTTCGATGAATCTGGCATTTTTATTGCGGCCTGTCGCCACCGGTTCATTCTTTTAGTGTGTGATATGGTCAAAAGTGGCGAACTGTATGTAATTTTGATTTTGATTTTGTCATCATCATCGCTGACTGATTTTTCAAGCTCAAAATACCCGCTCGCTATTTTAGATCATCTGCTCAATGTCTACGGGAAGAATGGTGGCGTTGCATACGATATTGGATGCGCATTTTCCAAGACGCTGGAAAATAGCTGCCTTGGACCCCGAGCTCGTGAACTCAATTTACGACTGATGGTCGGAGCTTTCCATGGCCATGCTCACAACCGACGGTGTCAAATTGACTGGCATCCGATGTACATAGAAGGTACTGGCCACACCGAGGGAGAAGGCTGTGAACACGTTTTTTCATCATCAAATGAGCTTGCGCGCAGCACTCGCCACGCTACTCCATTTCACCGGCATCAAACGATCGAGCAACACTTTGCCTTTTGGGACGATGACAAGTACGCAGCGCTTAGTAAGTTATTATCATTTTACGAAATCCTAAGCTAACGGGTTGATGTGTAGGTACATTTTTACAGAATCATTACCGAGAGGCACTCACTGCCATTCAAACTCTCACCGGCGAACTTTCCTCACTGGAAGGTGTCCTCAATCTCACACACGCCGACTTCATTCGTTTTCACAAGGAAGAGCGCTCATACCTCGACGGCCTGAAGGAACCCCCTGTCAAGGATCGTGTCAGTGTTCGATATGTTCAAGCTCTTGATGAAGTTGTCGTCCGCCAGTAAGTCATATAGTTTAATTTGTATTTATTTGACACTTACATTATGTATATGACAGAAAGGAATGGAACACAGCACGAGAAGCCGCCAATCGGGCACTTGTGGATATTCATGTCGGTGGCTATCAGGAAATGCACACTGCCATCAATCAAGCCTGGATCCGAGTTGACGGATCATATTCGAAGCTTCAAAATGCGGAAGCGATGGCTTCGCATTTAGAGATTCAACTTGGGATTGATAAGCGATGGGAGATCGACAGCAAACCCTACCGTCAATTTCGCCAAGAAGCTTCACTTTTGACTTACCGCACAGCACTCGATGACTTAGAACGACTTGTCGTGATGCGTCTATTTGAGTTGTCGAAACTCTCGCTTTCAGGCACGGGTAAGATCATGCTATTTGCGCACTCACATAAGTGTTTATTTTGTTTATTTTAGGCTACAAACTACGTCAACAAATTAGCAAGGCTCTACAACGTCGATCACAGGCAATTCGGAACGCACTTAGCCGGTTCAATCTGCAGGCTGCTGCTCTTGTACCTCCGCGTCCACAGCTCACTTGGAAAGATATAGTGGAGTACAGCTTTCTGGGCGAGTTCGATCTTTTGCGCCAGTCTCGTTCTGACATTCGCACCCTGGACTGGACCAAACCTGCGCATCGCGAAGCTACGGTAAAGTACTTCAAACTTCAACGTGCCCGTGAAGAGATTCAACGCTTGAATATTGAAATTCGTCGGTTGCGTACAGCCATACATGATGAGGAACTCACTGTGAATGCCACCATCAATTCCCTTCTCGTATCCAACAAACCTGTTGGACTTGAACTGCAACGTCAATGGCGCAGTCGCGCTGCCATCAATGCAGCGCATTTGTTTAGATTAGATCGAATCATGTCGCAGGCAGGCTTTTCAGGCAAAAGAGGCCTCGGAACTCGACTCAACGGCACATCTAGCCATGGTATGTCCCCCGCTCTTCATTATTTGCAGCTTACATATCTCTAACGCAGAACCTGAGCGGATGATGGCGACTTCGACAATTTCAACAACTGACGAACAAAGTGGTGGAGATAATCTTGAGCATGAGGAGCAAGAACAGAATGTAGAAGATTTCGCTGATTTTTTGGCATCCGTTGTAGAGTAAATGTTGCGTCAAAAATACAATAGTAGTGTTGATATTGGAATTCGAGATGTTCAGACACGCAAAATGCTAGTGGCCGAACTGTAGTGGAATGGGAGAAATGTATGATGATCCTTAAAATATTCCTCTGCGGTGTAGTGTGATTTGCGCTCGATATACATATGATAATCCTCAAGCTTAACATATTCCCTTTCTACATATCATCTGCTACATACTTAGGCCGTTCTTAACATATTCCCTTTCTACATATCATCTGCTACTATATACTTAGGCTGTTCTTTAACATATTCCCTTTCTACATATCATCTGCTACATACTTAGGCCGTTCTTAACATATTCCCTTTCTACATATCATCTGCTACATACTTAGGCTGTTCTAACATATTCCCTTTCTACATATCATCTGCTACTATATACTTAGGCTCTTTAACACATTCCCTTTCTACATATCATCTGCTACTTAATTACATATTGTGATCTGCGCTCATGATATTTACCTGCTACTAATACTTATGACTTAGGAGCGCACTCTTAACATAATCGGTATCAATACATGCCTCAAGGCCTCAAATTTCATTACTTTCATAACTGCTCTCCCGAATCTCGCGCTTCAACCTCGCGCTTCAACCATGGTTCACTCTGTCTATGCCCCCTCCCCCACCACTCCAAACAAGACACTTCCAGCTCGTGCAGAATCTCCAGAAACTGTGTCTGGTGTTATGGACAAGCCAGCGCAGGTGGCTCGCTTCTCACTGTCCAGCTTAGCAGCGCTACACTCAAGCTCGTTTGCTCAAGGTTTCAGCAACGGAGAACGACAGGCAGCAGCTCGCGCGTTACTCAAGCATGAAGCCCACGTTGACGGTACTCACTATCATACCCGAAAGCCTGGTGGCCTCCATCCGTCTCATATCGCCTTCAATTCATACACATCATCAAACGAACGATCCATCACACAAGAAGATTTCCTTGACGCAGCATTACAAGACCTGTTCGATGTGGTGAGCTTTTTTTATTTTCTATCTTTGTATACTAATGACATAGATTGTTAGATCACAATGCAAGATCGTCTTGATGGTGGAATTTCCATCCTCATGCGTTGTGCTGGTTCTGAAGCCTCAGAAACGCTGTCTCCGGAGCACTTCACTGTCGATCTGTACATTACGCCACGGGAACATCGTGAAACACCAGAGCGGATTGGGGGAGATTTATCAGCCTTAGTGCAGGCTTTCAGCGAGGAGTTTGTCATCCCCCATCTGCAGCGCTATGCAGAACGTTGTCGCATTGAGGGCATCATCCCTCCCCGGCATTGTGAGTCTCCTCTGTTTCCATGTTCACAAGCTTACTTTTTTCAAAGACCCGGCAAGTCAAGTGAATCCTTCTGGACCCCCATTTTTGCCTGGACCCTTGGTGGCCACAGGTGCACGTATTCAGTGTTCCGCTCGTCCCACCAAGCAGTTCGAACGTGATTTTGAAGTTAGCAACAAGTCGCTTTCAGCTGCTGTTCAGATGGGTCAAGCCCTCGCGAAAGCATCGCCTAGCAAGAGCAAGTCAGACATTCGGCAGCGTCGCAACGCTGACGCATTTCTATTGAGTGCCGCTCAACAAGGTACTGCAACTGTCCCAAAGCCCCCCGGTACCAAAAATACGACCAAGTCAACTGGCGCAGCAGCATCTTTCCAAGCTGGGGCCCCCTTGATCAGCATAGGTCCGCACTCCGATGCTGTGCTTGATCGGTTCGGTTTAGACGATCACATACTTCCCAAACTTCATCAGCTCATCGGCTCCGTTCGCAGCAGCCGATGGGAGGCTGTGCTTCAATCACCGAAATGGAACCTGACTTATGAACAGGCATCGAACCTGAGTAGAGCACTCAATTCTGACGTTCACAGCAACCGAGCTATGCCCACAAACACTAAGGTATTTTATATTTCTACCGTTATTTGAATTGATTGACAATTTAATCACTTTCTAGCCGCCGTCTTCGTTCCTTTCACAAATATTCACATTTCTTGGCGCCCTAGTTTTTATGTGCGCACTTTACTTGTTTTTTCTCTTGTTCTTGTTCTAGATCCCCGATTGTGTGTGGCAAAAGCCACCGATGTTTTTTTTGAATAGTTACACCAATATACGTGCTCCGTTGTGCTTGCCGTTTGCGTATAAATTGGCTGCGCGGGTGTTTACTAACCGCTGAAATACCCAGGTCAATGGCCACCCAGACCTTTCACGCGACACAGACTCACAAACGCGTCCAGGCTTTGCCTACTCGTCGCACGAGGGTCACTCTCAGTAAGGAGGCCCGCGCTGCCCTTACTGCTCGGCGTCGTGAAAATGCGCATCAATTCAGATCAGCTCTCGGTGATGCTTGGAACGGTCTCGATGAGACCGTAAAGGAAATCGCATCTTCTCACCACAAGAGTTTCCGCCGTGTACAAAATGACTTATGTTTAGGCCGGGGGATGATGAGATTCAAGCGCTTGAAGTTGAATGCGTGGAACGCATTCTGTTGGAAAAAACGGCAGGATAATCAAGAGAATGGTACGTGGTTTGACAACACACGAACAACGTACTTACTGTGCCGTCAAGGGGCGACGGGCAAGGACGTCCTACAAGAACTCGTCAAGAGCCACCGTGCGGAATATCAAGAGCTCACGGATGACGAGAAGGCTGAGATTTTGCTCGAGTACAGCGAGCACAAGGAGACACAAGCCACGGGCATCCGAATCTCAACAAAGTCAAAGGTTAATGATGTCACCCAGACCCTCAAGGCCGTTGAGAACGAGGCGAGTCCTCATGCATCTTCATTTTGGATTCACTGACACAGTTTACAGCTTAACAATTTGAGGAGCCGTACGGGAGCCGAGGCGATCCTCTACACGACGCGTGGGTCCACGGACCTCCCTCTTCGTGGTGTCGCTTTTGCTACCGAAGGTGTGGACGAGTTTATGTCGTCTGTAATGAATATCGACAATCAAGATTTAATTAGCAAGATGGAAGGATTCGCTGTCCAGGGCATGAAAGGTATGTTTGCTCACATAGTACAGTAACTTATACCCGTATTAGACGGACAGCTGAGGGTGACAATGTAGCAATAGAGGCGGGCCAGCCCATGTGGGCCCATGGCAACAATTGTACCATGGTAGACGAGTGGGCTGCAGGGTTGTGTGTACCTGTTGCAAACGGATGGGCCGGTGGTATATAGTGTAGATGGTAGTATAGGAATGTACTATATAGGATATCTATGTAAATAGTAGTGAATGCAATGAGCTATAGAGACGAGTGGGCCGGCTGAATGGTGTGCAATGTAAATGAGTGGGCCAGGGAGATGGGTATGATGGGGACGAGTGGGCCGGGGGTATGAAGTGCAATGGAGACGGGTGGGCCGGTATGCAAAGTACAATAGAGACGGGTGGGCTGGGATGAGAAGTACAATTGAAGACGAGTGGGCTGGGGGTATGGGGTGCAATGGAGACGGGTGGGCCGGTATGCGAAGTACAATAGAGACGAGTGGGCCGGGGGTAAGGGTGTAATGGAGACGAGTGGGCCGGTATTTGAAGCACAATGGAAGACGAGTGGGCTGGGGGTACCAGGTGAAATGGAGACAGGTGGGCCTCATGATATTCCACCCGGTGGATAATGGAAATATTTGCCGGTATGGATGATACAGATGAGCCGGAAGAGTGTTGTGGGACAGAGGTGAAGGTGAGATGGATGATACAGATGAGCCGGAAGAGTGTTGTGGGACAGAGGTGAAGGTGAGATGGATGATACAGATGAGCCGGACTTCCGGTGTGCGAGAGGTGAAGGCGAGATGGATGATACAGATGAGCCGGACTTCCGGTGTGCGAGAGGTGAAGGCGAGATGGATGATACAGATGAGCCGGACTTCCGGTGTGCGAGAGGTGAAGGTGAGATGGATGATACAGATGAGCCGGACTTCCGGTGTGCGAGAGGTGAAGGTGAAATGTATGATACAGATGAGCCGGACGTCGGCTGTCCGATTGAGGTGAAGGTGAAATGGATGATACAGATGTGCCGGACCTCCGGTGTGCAAGAGGTGAAGGCGAGATGGATAATACAGATGAGCCGGATGTCCGCTGTGTGATTGAGTGAAATGGATGATACACATGAGCCGGAAGGGCGTTGTGTGATATACAATGATGGAAATACCATCCAGTATAGCAACATTCTCACTACTAAAATGCAGGTTGTGCGATTATATGATGCATTGTCTTCAACATTGAAAGCACCAGAGCTTGACAACACAATGTAGACAACTAGTACATACGAAAACATGAATGATATAGACTAGTATTATGTCGGCCCGTCACCGGAAGGCTTGCTTGGATACCTAGCACTCACTGACCGACCTTGGTGCGATAGAGGTCCAAAGCGCGGGCGTGGCAAAGGAGCTGAGACGGACTGGGCATCAGCCGGCACATTTGATGGCCCGGCGACCGGGAGAATAGGAGATTGCACAGGTGGTGCACCAACCGGAGGAACAGATGGGCCGGATTCCCTCATGGTCAGTGAAGGGATGATGGTGGAATTGGATGGCACCCGGTTGTGCCTTGCGACCGGTGATCCATCTGCAGTATCACCCAACATATCACCACCGGTCTGGGCACCCATCCAAGAGACATCCGGAGTGAACACATTGTTGGTCACAGTGCGAGCAAATGCACTGATAGATGGGTCATGGGCTGTCATGGGGGGTGGATTAAATGCCGGTGGAGTTGATGCTGTGACCTGAGTAGATCTTTGCTCCCTCAGATACCTGACAATACCTCTTACTTCAGCCGTGCACTCAGCAAGGAGTCCCTTCTGCACACGCATATCCCGCCCTATGTCATCAATCTGCATGGACATGGCGCTATCAGATGCCTCGGCGATGTCCATGCGATTCTCCAAGTGATCATGCCGGACGTCAATTTCCATTCGATCGTGTGTGCGCAGTTCCTCCATCTCGATGCGAATTTGGGCCAACATGGCCTCCATCTCATCATGAGAGAGAGGGTATTGGGCGGAATGACCAGGTCTGGAAGGAGAGACAGGAGAGGGATGGTTGAAAACGACCGGTAACGGCGAGAACCGGATATTGTCCTCCGAGGCCATGGCCGGTGATGAAGGTGGCATCTCATCATTGCCGGGCTCCACCCAATGATCAGGAGGGAAATCGTGTGCGGATGCCAAAGGGGCCGGTTGTTGTGCAGAACCGCCGGCAGCAACCATCTGGACATCATCGACGTTGTCCTCCTCTTCGATAGGACTTGGGTGCCGGATATCCTTGCCTACAAGAATACATCAGAATGGACAAGTAACCGGAAACAAAAGACTTGCCTTTCGCCTTGGATTTCCCACTCATCTTCTCTCCGGTGGCTTTGGACCGGATGGTCTTGGAGCGAGTGGCTACTGCGACTGCAGGTGGTGCAGTGACGGTGATGGGGGTAATGGTGTTGGCAGAGGTGGTGGGTGCGCTCTCTGTGTTAGTCCGGATGCATGCCATCTTCCACAGATAGCACAATGAGCAAGTCGAGGCGATCTCGCCTTTCTTCGTCAATCGGGGGAAACACTCGACATTCTTGGCCAGACATCTATCACAAGGCGGATGGGGTTCATCAACGCGGGGCTATGGAGAATTAGTATGGTGAAGCATGGCATTGACCGGAAGACACACTGGTTCTGGCACTTTGCCCTTGCTGGTGGCCTTGCCCTTGGGCTGCATGGACTATTCAATAATGTTAGCGTTGTATATCACCTGTGCTATGACAAGCAAATCCTACCAGTTTTTGCCGTTTCCCTGGTCTGACAGTGGCCTGCATCGTGATGAGTGATAGACCGGTAAATGTGAAGTAAAATAATGAACTTGCCTTTGGCCTGCCTTGTGTATCATCATCCTCATCCTCCAATTCATCCTCTTCATCGTCCTGAATCACAACCCGCTGACTTGCCTTCGACGCACTGCCCTTCTTTTTGACAACGATGACAGCCTGACGAGTTGATTTCCGGGGCTGCTTGTTGCATTAGTAACGTTGAATATCTCAAGAAACAAACACACCTCAACGTCCAGAAGATCATCCACATCGATCCCCTCGCCATCCTCATCGCCATGATCTTCCGGTGCCTTTGCCTTCCCTTTCCCCTTCTCCTTCCCCTTCCCCTTCCCCTTTGCCTTTGCCTTGTCATTGTCGGTAGTGTCAGTGTCAGACAAAATTGCCTTCGACTTTGGTGCAGGCTTCCGGGCCCGGTTGACACGGGGCAAAGGGGGGCTGCTGAGCCGGCGTTTCCGGTTTGTTGATGTCCCGGCTGTTGCTGTCCCACCGGGTGGCACATCTTTAGGTATGCGAATGCTGATGCGTGGTGCCGGTGTCGGTGCAGAGGCCGGTGCCGGTACTGGAACAGGTACCGGTGGTGGGGCAGGTACCGGTGGTGGGGCAGGTACCGGTGGTGGGGCAGGTACCGGTGCAGGAGTAGGTACCGGTGCAGGTGCAGGTGCAGATGCAGGAGCTAGTGCAGTCACAGGTGTGAGTACAGGTTGCATGAGGAGGAATATCCTTACCAGTAGCTGCAGGTGAAGCAGGCGGTGCATGACCCAATGTCTTACTGTACAATGGATGCTTCATGCACATATCCTGATTGTTACCAAGATGGTTCCAATCCGGTACTACCACCAATTGTGAGGTGCGCCTCTGAGCGCGAAAGATCTCAGCTGCAAGTGACAGCAGGCCAGGGGGAACATATGAAGCGTCCCTCCCATATGAACGAATCGCGACATTCTGGGACCCTAGTATCAATACAGGCAACCGACAGGACGACAAACATACCACTTCACGAGCAATCTCGTGGCTCAACTCCATTTTCTCATCCTGAGACTGCGACCGGAGAACATCTTGAACCATGTCATCGAGCCGGGCGACAAGAGCGATGAGAGCCTGGTTGGCAGCCGCAGCAGAAGCAGATTGAGAAGACATGATAGTGAGACGATTACAATAGAGCTAGTGGACAAGTCACCCGGAAGAGACGTGTAAAACAACAACACTTATAAAATTTTCAATCACCGGCTAGCCGGGCCGACTCGGACATATCCGAGTCCATTGTTCGCCTCATTGTTGTCAGTCTATTTTTAGATATAAATGTCTCATTGTTGACACGTCATCAGTAATCAATTGTTGCCAACCAACCTGTGAGTACATCATCCGGTCGCAGCCTTCTGTAGAACATGATTCTTCCAGTGATATCATGAAGTCCGTGGATTTGTACGACCCATTCCAGAAGAAAAGAAGGATGCGATCATCGGCGATTGCTCAGCATAATCTACATGTATCTAGTGAGGATGTAGGTAAGAAACCATCACCTCCCACAACGTACCGGTTGATATTATCCGGCATCCCAGTTCATAGCATCTTGGAGCCAGGGAGAGAGGAGCGCACTTACTACAACCCTTTCATGGTTTGTTCAAGCATGGGTGAATGTGAGTTCATCTCATGCTAAGCGATGGTAAGGACAATTGATATGAATTTTAAAGATCTAGATGTCCTGTCAGCCCATGATGGGTTGCAAGACGGTAAAAGATTGAAGATGAACTCTGAACCGGCAGATGACGACCGGTCACTGGACCTGGGATTTCCTTTGTCAGATTATGACCAGATGACCGACAACCACGACCAACAACAATCAGACATGTTGGATATGCAATTTCCCACCTTGTCTGATGATGACCGGTCAAATGGTGAGATGTTGGATTTGGGATTTCCTCCACAGCCGGATGATGAAGATGTGCTTGATTTGGGCTTTGATATTGACCTCTGTG